AGTCTCACCATCTCTTGCAATCTTACAGTGATTTCATAAAGTAATCGTATAAACATACCACTCTTGCTGAGTGAGCTGTGACTACCCCCACTGATTGTACCGGTGTTGGGAATCACATGGTCCAGTCCGTTCATGAGCCAACTCTTTAACCATGGGGCTGCCCTAACCCCATCCCAGCATTACTAGGTGTGCTGTATCAGGCGACTATGCTTGTCGTAAGAGGCAACCAATGAGATTGGGTGGTCAGGCTTGCTGACTTGCATGTCATTGCATCCCAATTGCGTGGATCGATGCTCATGATATCAATCACTGGATTGTCTGGTCCAGACTCTATTATTAACAGACCGCTGTCATATAGCTGGAACATTGCTAAGTGCGGCTTTAAACAACAAACAAACAAACAAACAAATTGGCTCCTCCAAGGATGGCCTTAACACTGTGTCTGGAAGGGTATCTGTGTCTTCAGTGTGACCAACCAGTGCTAGAACCGCAAGGCTATACCCCACAAGACTGTCAGGAATAAGGGTTGACATTATTACAGCTATATCGGTAAATTAAGGTTTATTCTTTATACAATACGTATCACAATATCAATTTTTTCAGCATGCATCTGTGGCCCCAAGATGGCCGCATATTTTTTGAATGAGTAAACATTATGTTGTACCAGCATCTTGTTTTGAACATTAATGAACTTCCATTCATACCTTGATGTTTCAGATTGCTTCTGAATTCAAAATTTAGAATTATACAGTTTTGTGTGATGCATATTGCAATACGTTGTGATTCACTTTAAACCCCCAATACCCATCCCAAGTCATGAATAAGATTCTAGTCACTGTGATCTGGGCCCACTTGCACAAAGCGATCTTAGCGCTAAGATGATCGTAACTCCCATACTTTAACAAAGGCTTACAATAGTCGTAGCGCTAAGATCGCATTGTGCAAGTGGGCCCAGGTTATCACCTAATAATTAGCTGCTGATGCTGCTCTCAGAGAAGTGTAATATTGGCTTAGTAAGTTCACAGAAATCCTTTTTCTGTCAATGATGACTTGCTTCCCATCTCACAGTTCCCTCCACTCCCATGTCTTGTTTCAATATTGTAGTATTGCTGTAAAACCTACTCCAGCTGGTTACCATCTTCCTGAGGCAAGGGAGTTAACTGATTATCAATATCCAGTTTCAACCCTTGCTGAACAAGGCTGCAGTTATGAAGTTATATTTTGGCTGGTCTAATGAGTCTATACATCATCCAATCAAAATCGATTAACAAAAAGTGACATCCGTTTCGTAAACTGCCGTGTAGATTTTGCAAAACATGTGTAATGTCGACATAGTGTCAATGGATATTGTCCAAATCTTTTTTATGTTTTTAATCAAGGTGCTCACAAGATTGGATGCACTTCGCGAAGTAAGATCTGTTTATTTTACAATAAATATGTTGATTATCAATCAGATCTCCTTCCTTGGATGCTGCCATTTTGTTTGAAGCAAGCGCAAGTGATATAAGAGGCTGAATCTCATTGGTCAATAGGAGGGACTTAGCCACTGGTGGTGCTATGATCGAGCACAGAAATTCCAGCCTAGTTCAGCAAAGGTGGAAGCTGGACTTTGACAGTCAGTAAACTCCCCCTTGCCTCTGGAAGATGGGAGATGAGAAGTGCTGAATAGTTGTTAGTGTAGAGGGGACAATGCCCTCAAGTGTTGAAAGCATTTTGCTGCATGAAATGTTAACCCTTCTTTCCATGCTGTAATTTTATGTTTTATGCAAGAAAGGCGAAAAAGAAAGTAACATTTTTTTTCCTTTAGATTTTTATTGCATAGAGAGTGTCATGTTATAACAGAGATGGTGTCTTGAGATTTAGTCCAAAAAATGACACTCCACGAAAATGTTTTTTTCACTCTGCAAAACTGTTCATTCTTATTGTTTCATAACCCTCCCAAAGGATGCAAAATTGGCAAAAGTTTATAACCATCATTATCAATATTTATCATTTTCCATTGTGATGGTCCCAACGATGTAGATGATTTTTCGTAACCCTGCCCTCAACCTGTCCAAATCTGTCCCACTCAAATAGCTGACCCGTGAAGATTCCGGGGTAGAATTGGTCTTTAGCAACCCATGCTTGCCGTAAAAAGTGACTATGCTTGTCGTAAAAGGCAACTAACGGGATCGGGTGGTCAGGCTCGCTGACTTGGTTAATGCATGTCATCGATCCCAATTGCGTGGATCGATGCTCATGATATTAATCACTGGATTGTCTGGTCCACCCTCGATTATTTACAGACCGCCGTCATATAGCTGGAATATTGCTGAGTGCGGCGTTAAACAACCAACCAACCAACCACTCAAACAGCTGTATATGTCTGCCTCATCCCAAACAGCTGGCAAACAGCTTATTTTTGTCTTCAAGATGTGTTGTCTGAAACTCCTTTTAAATGATAATGACATTTGATATATATACAGTTACAATAAACATGATTAGCAACTAATTGTGACATCACTGTGGTCAATATGCTTTTCATTCATACTTTTATCATAGATTTAACAATTTGAATTAATATCTTCCTTTAATCATTTGGATTTATCTAGTTGCAATTAACATTTCAATCATGTGACATTGATTTTGACAGCGAGATAGAGATCTTCGTATCATGGTAAGCTAGTTGTTCATTCCGGCTACTAACAACCTCCCATGCCAGCCATGTTGCTGTCCTAGAAGCGTCCTAGGCGTATGTTCCCCTGTTAATCAACCCACTGTTAGTGCATGTGTCCCTCTCAATGTGGAGTCCGTTGTCTGCGTCCTGCATCCTGCGTCCAGCCATCTGTGTGTCAGGTTCTATTTAACGTGTATGGCTGCATCAAGCTATGTGCGTCTTATTACACAAGGCGATATAATGTACGTGTATTGATATATCATCATTACTAACGCGGGGTGTTAGTATGTAAAGTATATTGCATTACTCTCGTATCTGCATATAATTAAATGATTCTGATCTAAAAAGAATAACCTTAGGTTGGATTAGGATGGATTTATGTACCTGCTGACCTGAAAATATGAAAATTAACAATAATTGTATAATAATTAGACGTATATATCACATTATGTGTACTTTAGAATATTATAAGTATCAGGAAAATCAAGGATTTCTAACTTTTACATAAAAGACTTGAAAATGTGGTATCTTTAAGTGTATTTTACAATGTACAGATCTCCAGGCATTGATGGCAAGTATTCAAATATCTTGAAGTAAATATCTCTAAAAGGGGTTTTATTTTCTGGATGATTTCTGTTCATTTGTTATAGTATTAGAAACTCATGACGGCTTAATACTGTTGTGGATCTCATCATACACAATGATAAAAAAATAAAAGCACTGGTTCTCAGGCAATGACATTTGAAAATATAGTGCGGGTGGGCGGTGTTTTTTGTTGTTTGTTCAAACTGGCATGTAACAAAATATGCAGTTGTGTACCTTCATTCTTGGAAAGGACCTCCCTACATAAACAAGCATACAAATTCCTATTGCTGCCATGACCGTAAAACGAGATGCTCACTAAAGCAGTGTCCATGTAAGGGGAAGTAACTGCATGCTTTATTGGATCGCATTAATCTTTTTGAAAACAGCGATAAAAACGAAACGAGCATCAGACACTATGATGATGCGGGCGGTTCCTGAGAACCAAGACTTTTATTTTTTTATCCTAAATGCTTATCGGTTGACAAGAACTCTTGTGTGTAGGGCATATGTTTAATGAAAATGCAGTTTAACATGGGTGAAACATTACAATTTGTATAAAATTAGTGGAAAGGTCAATAAAATCATCTTTCTCAGTCACCACACTTGATTTGGAACCACAATACTTTATATGCCTTGTCCTGAAACCTTCAGTATCACTTAGCAATCCTAGATTTCTTTCCCCTAACATGAGACGGTGGGACTCCAGCTTGTGTATCTGTGAGGTTGAGGTAACCTGTTCATAGCTTGTGACAGTCAGGTCCTAGAATATCATTCCTATGCTTAATTACAGGTGTGAAACACCTGGTTTGTTGTTATGTCTTCATCACAGAATCCCAGTGTTTTGTGTTTAGTATCATTATGTGCATCAACGTAAGTTCCCATGCTATTTTTTTCAGTTTCTTATAATTATTACGAACCTTAATATTACTGCTTTATGTAAAGATATATGTTCCTCAGGTAAAATATGCCATAGTTCATCAGATCATAAAAATCATATCAGCTTATCAGTGTTCTTCACAGGAACATCACCCATGAAGATCCGCGGGTAGAATAGGTCTTCAGCAACCCATGCTTACTCTAAAAGGCGACTATGCTTGTCGTAAGAGGCGACTAACGGGATCGGGTGGTCAGACTCGCTGACTTGGTTGATGCATGTCATCGTATCCCAATTGTCTGGATCGATGCTCATGATTTCAATCACTGGCCATGATTGTCTGGTCCAGACTGGATTATTTACAGACTGCTGTCATATGGCTGGAATATTGCTGAGTGTGGCGTTAAACAACAAACAAATCAAATCAAAACAAAATCACAGGAACACATGATGATATTATAATAAAAAATGAAGCACTATGTTTCCTTTTCAGATATCAGTATATAAATATGTTCATTTAAACGACCTAATGATTTTTTGGTGTAAAATATTGACCATATATATATATATACATACTGGTAAGCAAAATTCACATTGGTAAGTATCAGATTTCAAACATGTTTTCACATGACAGCTAATCATGATGTTATATTTTATCCTCTTAAGCTTAAACATGTAGAATAATAATCAGAAAATAACTGATAAAAATCTTATTGTGGTGTTAATAGTTTCATTTTCGTGAAAAATCTTATGATCACACGTAATATTTACCTACGTAATCAAGCGTGAAATATGATTGAATGTCTAGTGGTAGGTTTGATCATGAAACAAAGGAGATGAACGAAAAAGGACCTTTTTGCTAATTGTGCTTATCTCCCCTTGTAGATTAACGCCCTGATCATCAACACAGTGGAGACAGAGAGACAGAGGTACTTCCTGGAGCGCTTCCTCAGCAAGGACAAGGCTGTGCTGTTTGTGGGCCCGACAGGAACGGGGAAAAGCGCCATCACCAACAACTTCCTACTTCAGCTTCCAAAAGACAAATACATCATCAACAACATCAACTTCTCTGCTCAAACATCAGCCAATCAAACACAGGACATCATCTTCTCTAAACTTGACCGGTACATATGCTTCAAGTGTTTGCTTGAATCTCAACTGTGTGTAGTAGTATGACGTCCTGTTCCACGAAGCAATCTTAGCTCTACAACTGTTATGAGCCTATTTTAACATATGGGAGTTACGATCATCTCAGCGCTGCGACAATTGTAAGCCTATGTTAACATATGGGAGTTACGATCATCTCAGCGCTATAACTATTGTAAGCCTATGTTAACATATGGGAGTTACGATCATCTCAGCACTGCAACAATTGTAAGCCTATGTTAACATATGGGAGTTATGGTCACCTTAGCACTATAACTATTGTAAGCCTATGTTAACATATGGGTGTTACGATCACCTCAGCGCTACAACTATTGTAAACCTATGTTAACATATGGGAGTTACGATCATCCCAGCGCTATAACTATTGTAAGCCTATGTTAACATATGGGAGTTACGGTCACCTTAGCACTATAACTATTGTAAGCCTATGTTAACATATGGGAGTTACGATCATCTCAGCGCTGCAACAATTGTAAGCCTAAGTTAACATATGCTAGTTACGATCATCTCAGCGCTGCAACAATTGTAAGCCTATGTTAACATATGCTAGTTACGATCACCTCAGCGCTACAACTATTGTAAGCCTATGTTAACATATCGGAGTTACGATCACCTCAGCTACGACTATTGTAAGCCTATGTTAACATATGGTAGTTACGATCATCTCAGCGCTGCGACAATTGTAAGCCTATGTAAACATATGGGAGTTATGGTCACCTTAGCACTACGACTATTGTAAGCCTATGTTAACATATGGGAGTTACGATCACCTTAGCATTACGACTATTGTAAGCCTATTTTAACATATGGGAGTTACCATCATTTCAGTGCTACAACTTTTGTAAGCCTATGTTAACATATGGGAGTTACGATCACCTAAGCTCTAAGATTGCTCTGTGGAATGGGTCCCTGCCCCCTTTAATATGGGGGTACAAGCATGACAAATGTGGGGTGGGGGGGGTTCCAAGTACCCAATTCAAGAACAGACACAGCACAAGCTAGCAGTAGGTTGTAATCAACTGTTGCTGATACATTTGTCTCCAGGAGGAAGAAGGGAGTCTATGGGCCAACCCTGGGCAAGAAGCTGTGTGTGTTTGTGGATGACCTCAACATGCCCGCCAAGGAGAGGTATGGCGCCCAACCTCCCATAGAGATCCTGCGACAGTGGATAGACCACGGGTTTTGGTATGACAGGTATGTGGTACATATAGAGCGTGATGGCAGTAAGTGTAGTGTGATGGTAATAAGAGCGTGACGGCACTAAGTGTATTGTGATGTCATCAATAGAGCGTGACAGCACTAAGTGTAGTGTGACAGCAATAAGAGCGTGACGGCACTAGGCGTATTGTGATGGCATCAATAGAGCATGACAGCCTAAGTGTATTGTGATGGCACCAATGGAGCGTGATGGCACCAACATGACATGACAGCACCAATAGAGCGTGACGGCACTAAGTGTAGTGTGACGGCACTAAGAGCGTGACAGCACCAAGTGTATTGTGATGGCACTAACATGACGTGACAGCAACAATAGAGCGTGACGGCACTAAGTGTAGCGCGACAGCACTAAGAGCGTAACAGTACTAACATGACGTGACAGCACCACTAGAGAGTGAGGGCACCAAGTGTAGTGTGACGGCACTAAGAGCATGACAGCACTAAGTGTAGTGTGACAGCACCAGTAGAGAGTGACAGCACTAACATGACCATGTTGCAGGAAGGATACATCAGTCCTGCAGTTGGTGGACATTGTGATGCTGGCGGCGATGGGGCCCCCTGGTGGCGGCAGGAACAACGTCACACAGCGCTTCCTGCGACACTTTAATGTTATTGGCATTGAGACATTTGATGAAGAGACGATGAAGAACATCTTCTCCCCCATCATGGACTGGCACTTCAAGAGTTACGAGACGTCCCTCAGGAGGTTCTCCAGGGTAGGAGACATCAACATGGGCACATACACAACAGTTATTGTTATGATATAAAATTGCTACCGTTTCTCAGATGTTGCCTGGCTTAACAAGGAAGCACCTGATACTAGATACTGAATGGTTATGTTGTAAATATACACTAGTTTCTTTAAATACTTCTCAGGCAAAAATGTTTCCATTGTATATACACACTAGTTTCTTATACTTCATTTACGAGATTAAGGGAAATACCAGAATTTGGTATGAATTCTCAATATGGACACAAATGCAAGATGATTTTAATTGCTGATACTTTATTTCACCGATAGCAACAATAAATAAATGTAAATTAATTAAATATAAATTGTGGGCACTATTGTGACACAAACTGAGGAACAGTTGCAAGTTGTAGTCAAGTCCTAATGTAATTGAAGACTAGTAACATGTACAGAGCACGTAGAGACTGGCACCTTGTCCAGAGCACTAATGGACAGGTGATGGATGTTAGCATGAGTTCCATCTCTGTGTAGATTCTGCTTGGCGCCACTCTGGAGGTTTACCAGATGGCCATCACCAACTTCCTCCCGACACCGTCCAAGTCCCACTATCTGTTCAATCTTCGAGACTTTGCCAGAGTTGTACAGGTAAGAAAACTAAGTATATGTATATCCTAGATCCTAGATCCTACGTATCCTCCACCCTAGATCCTTAACATTACCGGTACCGGTAATTGGATGTCATGATATTGTGGTGCTTTACACCCTTGATCACAGAACTGATTGGGGGACACAGGTGGCCCATCTTCCCGAGGCAAGGGAGTTTTAACTGACTATAAAAGTCCGGTTTCCACCCTTGCCGAACTAGGCTGGTATTATGGAGTTAGATTTTGGCTGTACTAACAAGTCTATGCATAGTCCAATCAAAATCGCGTAACAAAATCAAAATCCGGTTAGTAAACTGTCGTGCATATTTCGGTTGATTGCATGTTTTACAAAGCATGTGCACCGCCAACTTGATGTCAACAGATATTTTCCAAGTCTTTTCATGTTTTTGATGCAGTTCGCTATGTAAGACCTGTTTTATCACAATATAGATCTTGATTGTTGACCAGATCGTCTTGACTGGGCGTCGCCATTTTGTTTGAAACAAATGCAAGTGATACTAGATGTGGAATCTGATTGGTCTTAGAAGGGACATAACTCATAATAACCACTGGTGGCACTACGATCGAGCCCAGGAATTCCAGCCTAGATCGGCAAGGGTGGAAACTGGACTTTTAAAGTCAGTTAACTCCCTTGACTCGGGAAGATGCAGGTGGCCCAGTTATCCCAGGGACCATTATTTGCTATGCAGAATTAGGTCCTTGAGGTGTATGAGAAACCAATTATTTTTCGCCAAAATGATAACGTCAAAAACCTGCATCACCATGATCTTTTCTTCTCACTTCAAGCTGATATGCAATGATATAATTATAATACTGCTGAAAGCAATATTAAATCAAGCTCACTCACTCATCACTAGGACTAACAGGATCTGGTGGTCAGGCTCGCTGTCTTGTTTGATGCATGTAATCATATCCCAATTGCGTAGATCCATGCTCATGATGTCAATCACTGGATTATGTGTTCCAGACTCGATAATTTACAGTCTGCAGTCATATAGCTGGAATATTGCTGAGTACAATGTTTAACAACAAACAATAAAAAACAAAAAAACAACAACACCTTTCACTGATTGAACATCATCACACTGGCAGTCCAGCTATTTTGGCCCTTATACTGAACCGGGTCGGTTGGGTAGCCTAGTGGTTAAAGCGTTCGCTCGTCATGCCGAAGACCCGGGTTCGATTCCCGACATGGGTACATTGTGTGAAGCCCATTTCTGGTGTCCCCTGCCGTGATATTGCTGGAATATTGCTAAAAGCGGCTTAAAACCATACTCACTCTTACTTACCTTATACTGAACCAGGAAGGAATACGGTCGATGCCATGACGCTTTTAGTGGTCACTGTTTTCAAAAGCAATCCTTATGTTTTAATGTATAAGTGTTTTTGTGTTTAGAAGATTGGGAAAAAAAATAAAAGTTGATCAAATATATTAGTACAACTTGCCGGACTGTCTTGTCAGGGCATCCTGTTGATGAAAGGGACCGTGGTGTCAGCTGTTGTCGGTAATGCAGGACAGAAGCTCTCCCGCCTGTGGGTGCACGAGGTGTACCGTGTGTTCTATGACAGACTCGTGGATGACCAGGATCGCAACACGTTCTTCAAAATGGTCAAGGTAAATAGAAACAAACACAGTTACATTAAAACTACACTAGGGCGGATCCAGCATTTTTAAAAGGGAGGCGTCCAAAATATAAAAATGCTCGCCCTAGATAAAGGAAGGAGGGGCTGGGGTGTACATGACACCAAGTCTTTGATTGGCATTTAGACGTGATACACATAAGAGAGAGAAGTGTATATGCTTACGCTTTGATCAGCATTCAACTGATGAACAATCGCATTAAAATCAGATCTTAGTTTTCGCTACCGCTAAACAAAGATCTGAGGACATCCCATTACGGGTCATGTCAGAACGACCTTTTGTGAACTTTGACCAATCAATGAAATGACTGACAAGAAATCTACATTAGCCAATCAGAAGGCAGCTTTCTCGAGCTTTATCACACTAGTTTCAAACTGGCGACTACGCTTCGAAACATATTTTGACGTATTCTCGATTAAACATTTTAAAAAGAACATTCTGGAATGGCTTATAGATGGCCTAGATTGTATGGATATAATCATAAAACCCGTAACTGCCGTTCGGAATACCCTCTGTTAAATATTTCGATGTAGCAAGTTTTGAAAACACTTTCATGATCTGGTAAGTGACGCTCTGATTGGTTGGATAAAAGGTCTTTCTGACATGGCCCGTAATGGGATGTCCTCAAATCATTGTTAAGCGATAGCGAGAACTAAGATCTGATTTCATTGACATTGACTTATGAAGGAGTAAGCATATACTCCAAAATGTTGTGTTCCTCATAATAAAACAAATGACATCCATAAATTCTCTCTCTTATACATGAAATGCTTGAAGATTACTTGGAGCATTGTTCTGGAGAACACACATAGGTGAATCTCAAACATTGGGTGATTGAACATGGTCTGGAATACTTATAGAACTTGAAATCAACACTGTTCATGCACCTATAGCATAGAAGAATAAACCCCATGGTGTAGCTGAAGGAATGTGTAGCAGCCTTAAGATATCCAATTCCTGTGATGGGATTTGAACCACGGACCTGCTGATCCAAGGTTGGACGCCTGGTCTACATGATGAAAGAGGTTAAGCCCACAAGTAACATTTTGATACGAGGTCGGACCCCTTGTCAAAGATCAAAGATGTAAACCCTAGCTGATTTAACATCTTTTATCAGTGGACATAGGGTCCATTGCCTCAGATCAGGAGATGACTGATGGGTTTCACCTCTTTGGTAATGTTGACAACGTATCTGACCTCGGAGAATGATTCTTGAGTGCACACTAATCCAGTGACCAGGATAATTAGAGCGCTTTGAGCATGCCCCTGAATGTCATCATCATCATCATCATCATCATCATCATCATCATCATCATCATCCATCCATCCATCCATCCATCCATCCATCCATCATCCATCCATCCATCCATCCATCCATCCATCCATCCATCCATCCATCCATCCATCCATCCATCCATCATCAATGAGTCTGTGGTTGAATCCCAGGCAATACCAGTCCAGTGTATCCACACTGTCGCCCTATGTTGTTGCAGTCAGTGGTTGAGTCGCATTTCAAGGAGAAGATGAACAGCCTGTTCACCCACCTGCTGGAGCCTGGCAAGTCCATCAGGGACGACACCATCCGCAGCCTCATGTTTGGGGACTATCTCACGAAGAAGGGGGAGGACAAACTGTATGATGAAATCCTCAACCTGGATGAACTCAGGGAGGTAGGTACAACAGAGCATCGACTGACTGGGGACACTCTCAGTCACACCAATGTCGGAACTTAATTACAGACCTTAGGCTTAAAAAAATTAAACAATTGATTCTCAGGCTGACTTTTGAAAATATTGTGCAGGTAGGCGGTGTTTTTGTTGTTGTTGTTGCTTGTTCAGAGTAGTATGTAACCAAATAAACAGCTATATACCATCAACCTGGAAAGGGCCTCCTACATAAACAACAATACAAACTCCTATTGCCGCCATGACCATAAGACAAGATGCGCAGTAAAGCAGTGTGCATGTTAAGGGAAGTAACTGCATGTTATATTGGATCACAAATTTTTTTAAGTATTAGGATATTTTTTTTTTATATTTGAAAATAATGGAAATAAATACAAAAAGTGCAACAAACTTTATGAAGATGTGGGCAGTGCCTGAGAACAAGACTATTTTTTTTAGCCATAGCTAAATTGTAAAATACATTTGGTCAGCATGTAATTAAAAAGTCCAGGTATTTCAGTGTATGATTGGAAAATTTGAAACATAATTGTGATATAAGGGAAATTACATTTTTGCATATTGTTTGTGACAATGACGGCACATATATTGAACAAAAAAAAGTTCATTATGATGAATACTTTGGGGGAATGATGCAGAGTTTTGTGTTTGATGTTTGGACTTGAACTGTTGACCTGATTGCTTCAGACAATTGAGAACAACCTGGAGGAATACAATATGATGAGCAAAGCCCCGATGGAGCTGGTCATGTTCAGGTTTGCCATCGAACACATCTCCAGAATTAGTCGAGTTCTCAAGCAGCCAAACGGTCACTGTCTCCTAGTGGGTGAGTCGTTTTTCATGTTGAAGAATGTGCTGTTCATGATTTAAGATCTCACAACCCACAAGCCATCATGAGGTGTTAAAATGTGTAAGTCGACATCACACCATTTAAGCCAAATTCTCTTTTTATTTAGTTCCGAGTAGAATGGGTGAGTTGGGTCAGCGCCACTTTTAACAGTATTCCAGTTATGGACTGACATGGTATTTCCAGTGTTACATGCTCACGGTAGTATCTTTGTGTTGGGGGGGGGGGGGTCAATTATCTTAACGCTTCAACCCTGTGTATAAGTTGACCCTCCATGAAAACCCCCAAATTTTAGGTACGAAAAACTAGCCTTATACACGACATAACATGGTATATCATAGCGTGTCAGCTTTATGTGGGAGAAAAGCCTGAAGTGATGCAGGTCTCAGACGTTTACCTCTTTGGTGAAACCCAAGAGCATGGGTGTAGTGCTGACAAACCTGGAAACATAGTCTTGGCAACCAGGGATTCAAACGCATGAGCACATGTTTTGGGCATGGCCAAGGGATGCAACTCTGCACTGCGAATTAGGGTGCATTAGACGACTGGGCCACCCTTTCCCCACGGTCCCTAGTACCCCATGTGGATCAATGTGTCGCATTGCTAATTGTGTGTTCCCTGACAGCATGGACCATTGCTCATAGTGTCAACCACTGGTATCACTCTCCTACCCAGAGTTCCATGCAGCCAGCATAGTACCTCTGCCACAGTCGAGCGCCATGTGACGAATCGCCACATCTTACACAGTCCATTGAAGATCTTGCATATGTTTTTCATCTGTTTCATTTTTTATAAGTCTTCACATCTAGATAAACATATGTCATTAAGAAAAAATCCTAAAACACTAAAAACTGTTTCCATTTCCATTGTCATCCTTTGTTTAGATGGGTTGTATGGCTCCATGTGCTGTCATCAAAGCCCAACAGAGAGCTGGCAATATGATCACTTTGATGTATAAATATATATATTGTCAAGCACCTATCTATAAAATTTTGAAAAACAGTATGTAAATTGTAACAAAATACTTGCATTAGGCTAATCATTTCTCATTTCATAATAAGTGCGTTTATTTACAAACAAGAGGAAAGTCCGGTCACATGCAAATTAGCCTGTGGCAGTGGTGTTATGCTAAGTTACCACTTGCGCCGGAGTGAGTCACTGGTATGCCTTGTTGTGACAAAAAACATTACTCCTTCAGAAGAGAATAGGTTCACCCATGTAATATGATTCTGATGAGGCATAGATGGCAATAGTTATGGTAATCATGCAATCTCATTAAAATCAGATCTAGGTTCTCGCTGTCGCTAAACAAAGATCTGAGGACATCCTATTACGGGTCACGTCGGAACGACCTTTCGCGAACTTTGACTGACTACTGAAATGACTAACAAGAAGTCGACATCAGCCATGCAATTAGAAGGCAGCTTTCTCGAGCTTCACGGCACTCGTTTCAGCCCTGGCAACTTCCAATTCAGACTACGCTTGAAAAATATGTTTACACAGTTCTTGATTGAGATTTTGAAAACTGAACAAACAAACATTACGGAATGTCTAATATATGGTTGAGATTGTAAGGCAGTGCTTCCCATGTACTGTACAACACAACTCCATTCAAATGTTTATCCTGTGGAAACGAGAGATAGACGATAATTTTGATGGAATCAGTCGTACGGGTTGTAACTGTCGTTCGGAATACCCCGTGTTACCATTTTGGAGGTTGCATGATTAGAAAACACATGCCGACTGTCACTTTCATGATCTGGTAAGCGACGCTTTGATTGGTCGGATGAAAGGTCATTCTGACGTGACCCATAATGGGATGTTCTCAGATCTTTGTTTAGCGATAGCGGGAACTAAGATCTGATTTTAATGAGTTTGGGTAATCATGTTATGTGATGCTCTGTTTCACCAGGTATTGGGGGCAGCGGTCGTCAGAGCGTCACCCGACTGGCAGCGTTTATGTCGGACTTTGAGCTGTTTCAAATTGAGATCACCAAGAACTACACGACTGTGGAGTGGAGGGATGATCTGAAGCGTATGATGCGGCGCGCCGGGGACGAGGGAGTGTCCACGGTCTTCCTGTTTGGCGACCATCAGATCAAGGCAAGCATCCAATACAAATGATATTTAATTGATAGCTCTTCCTCAGTGAAGATCTGGGTTAGAATTGATCCTCAGCAACCCATACTAATCACAAGCATCAGCTGGTCAGACTCTTTGACTTGGTTGATGCATGTCATCCTATCACAATTGTGTAGATCAACGCTCATGGTGTCAATCACTGGATTGTCATGTCCGGGCTCAATTATTTACAGCTGCTGTCATGTAGCTGAAATATCGCTGAGTGTAGCTTTAAATGATAAACAAACATACAAACAAACGTGATAAAGTGATAAAACCCATACCCTTCGGCTTTGTTGACATGATCGTCCAAGAACTTGGGTAAATTCAGTATGAAATACACACACTCATGTAGTAATGTGTTTGTGTGTTCTGCCTGTGTAAGGTAATGCACAGCTGGGGTCAATGAAGGTATGCACTCTCTTAAAACATGAAAGCAAGCAGACTAGAACCTTTGTCCAACATGGCTAAAAGATCCTTGAGGCAAAGACTTCATCCACTGAGCTATCATGTGTCTTTGATGTGGATATTCCATTGTCAGTCGGGCTGTGTTTAGAGAACCTAGGATGGTACAGTTGCAGCATGTTGTACTCAGTAATATTGGTGAAGCTTATTTCTGGTGTCCCCCGCCGTGATATTGCTGGAAAATTGCTAAAAGCGGCGTAAAACCATAGTCACTCACTCACTCACTCACTCACTCACTCACTCACTCATATTGGGGCAACATGTTTGTACTAGGGAATTGTGGGGCAACTTGGCAGAAGTTCTGCAAGAAGGAAATTTTGATCAGGTCTTTTATTTGTAGTTAATATATAGAAAATGTGCTTGTACATAGAGTATCGCATTGGACAGAACAGAGCATGAAATGAAAATCTGTGGTCCTGTAACCATGGTAACTGTTACAGGATGAGTCATTCCTGGAGGATGTGAACATGATCCTGAACACTGGTGACATCCCCAACCTGTATGACAACGAGGAGAGGCTGGAGATTATTGAGAAGGTAGGTGGGGAGACTGGGGATTATTGAGAAGGCAGGTGAGGAGATTGGAGATTATTGAGAAGGCAGGTGAGGAGATTGGAGATTATTGAGAAGGCAGGTGAGGAGATTGGAGATTATTGAGAAGGTAGGTGAGGAGACTGGGGATTATTGAGAAGGTAGGTGAGGAGACTGGAGATTATTGAGAAGGCAGGTGAGGAGATTGGAGATTATTGAGAAGGCAGGTGAGGAGATTGGAGATTATTGAGAAGCAAGATGGGGAGACTGGGGATTATTGAGAAGGTAGGTGGGGAGACTGGAGACTATTGAGAAGGAAGGTGAGGAGACTGGAGATTATTGAGAAGGTAGGTGAGGAGACTGGAGGTTATTGAGAAGGTAGTGGGGAGACTGGAGATTATTGAGAGGGAAGGTGGGGAGACTGGGGATTATTGAGAAGAAAGGTGGGGAGACTGGGGATTATTGAGAAGGTAGGTGGAGAGACTGGAGGTTATTGAGAAGGTAGGTGAGGAGACTGGAGGTTATTGAGAAGGTAGGTGGAGAGACTGGAGACTATTGAGAAGGTAGGTGGAGAGACTGGAGACTATTGAGAAGATAGGTGGAGAGACTGGAGATTATTGAAAAGGTAGGTGGAGAGACTGGAGATTATTGAAAAGGTAGGTGGAGAGACTGGAGACTATTGAGAAGGTAGGTGGAGAGACTGGAGACTATTGAGAAGGTAGGTGGAGAGACTGGAGATTATTGAAAAGGTAGGTGGAGAGACTGGAGATTATTGAAAAGGTAGGTGGAGAGACTGGAGATTATTGAAAAGGTAGGTGGAGAGACTGGAGATTATTGAAAAGGTAGGTGGGGAGACTGGAGATTATTGAGAAGGAAGGTGGAGTGATTTAAAGGGCAAGTAAAGTCAAAATAGCAACTTTGAAAATTTTAATACTTTAGGGCGTACTTAATCACAAATGCTTGACCAAAATTAAATTTGAAAATCGGAAATAGAATAAGAAAGACGACATACAACGACAGGCGAATTCGTCCAGTAAGGGGATTCCCCTTCCTGGAGTTTAAAACGGGTTCCTGCTGCTTGACGTGCTGTGCAATTTCAACAATCAATGTATGCAATGTTATTTTTGTAGGATTATCAGAAATAATACCACTTTTAGATGGACTGCTTCCTGACATGTCCGTATAGATGCCAAGCATCACAAGTCAGCCAACACATCAACCAATGAAAACATTTGTCACGGTTTGCTGCATCATTGTGGTGGTAGCTTTAGGCCACGCCCCCAAATAGTTTTGTTTGGGAATCTTATTACGGAGCGTTTGATTTCATTGCTTTCACTTGGACATTTAAATACTTTCTGCAAATAATTTGAATTTTTTCTCTCTCGGGAATCGACTTAATATATCTGGGACAATTGATATTCACAACAAAATCACAATTATTATTTTCAGTTTACTTGCCCTTTAAGATTACTTTATCAAAACATATGCTTTTATCAGTCTTAAAGGAGGTACTAATATACAATTCTGTCTTCCAGGAACATCGATGTCTGTATATCTATGTTTTGTTAAGGGGCGCAGCTACTTAAGTATGATTCGGTTATCAAACCAAATTGTAATACCCTATTCGATGTAATAAGCGCCCCGCTCTAATAAGCGCCCACGGTGGTATTTGCTAATATATTGGCTAGTGAACAATCCCAATTAGCACCCCTTCCGATTGATCAATGTTCACAAGACCTATTTATTCGCGTATAATACACACTCGTGTGTTATATGCACCCTTAATTATGGGCAATTAAATTCTAGAAAAATATATCTATCATACATAAACATTTCAGACTGTCAGCATAAACCACGAAATTTATCTTTCAACTCTATTTTTTTTCACCAAAATAATATTCTAATAAGAGCCCCCTATTTCTAATTTTGAGAGTGCCCTGGGCGCTTATTACGTCGAATACGGTATGTACAATATCTATAAAACCAGGATTACCGGTTCCACTGTAGTTGCTGAGTTTGTCCTGACTGTGACGGTCACTATCCCCGTCATGTTGCAGATGCAGGCTGTGTGTCAGGTGGAGAACCTGCAGATAGAGTTCACTCCCCTGAACATGTACAACAAGTTCATCGAGCGGATCAGACGTAACCTCCATGTGGTGCTAGCGTTCAGTCCGATTGGAGACACTTTCCGGAACAGACTCCGAATGTTCCCGTCCCTCATCAACTGCTGCACCATAGACTGGTTCAAGGTCAGGTCACCCACTTGGAAAATTAGGAAAAAAAAGATTGGCGAATTTACTGATGGAAACAAATAGGGGAATGGATGGAAAGGGATGAATGAGTTTGACTTTGCACCCTCTTAGGCTGAATACAGCAGAAAATGTTGTGTCATGGTAGTACCCCCCAGACAAATTTTACACATTGTTTTATAAAGTGGATTTCAAGTATTTGTACTGAACGGAGCTATAGGTCCTCCTCTTCTACATATAGCTTTCTGTTACCTTATTTTTTTCATTAAGGTTCTCAGACTCTAGATTTAGATCCTGAGTGTATTATTGTGGTGTCTTTTGTTGCCATATATGGTGTGATATTAGGTTAGACAAAAAATTTGTTATGCTGTCTTGAGTTACCGTATATGGTGTTGAAAAGATAACATTATGTGGTACCCATATCGCACTACTCTTCTAAGCTTAGTACACTGACGTTAAGGGTCAAAGGGAGCTTACTCTTCAAACCTTAGAGGCCACATCTTGTTGACAATTTTAACTATAATCTTTATCAATAAAGTTGCAAAAGTGATTTAAGAACAATTAATGTCCTTGCACATCACAATTAATGATATAAAAACACTAAACAGTGTCAAATAACGAATTTCTGTACCAGAATTTTCATAGGAATTATGTGAGGTGGGTGTTGGAAAATCCAAGATGGCTGTTACTGACGGTATATGGTCTCATATTAGGTGAGTAACAAGCATCTTGGATTTTTACTGACGGTATACGGGCACATGTGGGGTCAGTAGTTCTGCTCTCTGATTGGTCAATCTCACTTTGAGGCATAAAAAGTATGCATATATCAATGCTGTGAAGTAACTGTGATAACCAGAGAAGGTGGGGTGATGTTCAAAATTATTGCACTTGTATAGCGACTTGCATGCATGTGTGGCTGCTTGGACTAGATTTGATAGTGCTAGCCCACTGACATACCATGCCACAGTTTAACATGAATATACCTGACTTAGACACAGTATACTGTCTCCGAGCCAAACAATCCCTGTTTTAGCCCCATAATGCTGAGTGCCAGACAGGGTAACAACAAGTACCATCTTTCAATGACTTTTGGATCGAACCTCCGAACTTCTGCTCTCTGGGCAAATGGTCTACCACTAGACCATGAAGGTGGCCGATAACTATAGAGAAACACATATGACACTTTATCATACCTCCATGTCAGAATGATTACCTCTGATTGGTCCAAGTGATCTTGATAAAATACTGTGTAACCCGCCTTGGAGGGTAATAAATTTCTCAGTGGGGTAATAAATCTCTTATACCCTGCCACAAGCAATACAGACTGCACATGGATTTCTGAGAGGCAGAATAAATCCCTTATACCCCGCTTCCAAGCAAAAAAGCTGCACGCTTTTTTTCAGAGTCAATGGAAATCATGTGACATAACACACGCTAACCACAGCTCAATTGAACAGGTGTTTTCTATCAGTTTTTAATTTATATTAATTCTATTACAATGTCACATTAAAACATGTCTGTAAGATAAATCCCATTGTACTCGGGATACATGGGGTTTTATGCGTCCCTGGTTAGGTTTTATACCATGTGCCTCGCCTCCGGCTTGTGGTATAAAACCTAACACGGGACGCATAAAAGCCCATGTACCCTGAGTGGTCCTGCTACAACCTATAGTGTGCTGACAGTACTAATACTCTGTCTTGGCGTAGGCATGGCCGGAGGATGCCCTGGAGCTGGTGGCCAACAAGTTCCTGGATGAGGTGGAGATGTCTCAAGATGTGAGGGACAACACTGTAGTCATGTGTAAACACTTCCACGAGAGTGTCCGTGCTCTCTCCAATAGGTGAGTACTGCATTAGCGAACTAGTTTATATAGGGTCATTTGTTTCCTATTGTTTTCTTGAAATTTCAATATACTAAGTTGAAATTTCAAGATAATAAGTAGAAATTTCAAGATAATAAGTAGAAATTTGAAGTTAATATTTTGAAATTTCAACTTATTATCTTGAAATTTCACCTTAGAATCTTGAAATTTCAAAACTTACCATCTTGAAATTTCAGGATAATAAGTTGAAATTTCAAGATATATCTTATAATTTCAACTTAGTATCTTGAAATTTCAAGATCATTATATTGAAATTTCAAATTAGTATGTATCTTGAAATTTCAACTTAGTATCTTGAAATGTCAACATAACATCTTGAAATTTCAAGTTAGTATCTTGAAATTTAAAGAAAAATCAAACAAAACAAGTGGCCGTAAAAGGCTGTTAGTTTATTTGTACAGCACAGAATAGGCGCTGTTTCACAAACCAATAGCATTACTACTGTGGAGACCTCATTTCATGGTGGCTGAAGGTAGCCTAGTGGTTAAAGCACTCATTATACTGAATGCCTGGGTTTGATTCACCACGTGGGTACAATGTGTGAAGCCCCTTGTGGGTGTCCGCCACTGCTGGAACATGGCTAAAAGTGGTCTGAAACCATAATCATCTATTTAACGCAGGTACTATGAAACAATGCGGCGAAGGAATTATGTGACCCCGACTTCCTACCTGGAGTTGATCAAGACCTTCAAGAACCTCCTGAACAAGAAGAGGCTGGAGATCCTGACTCTGAAGAACCGATACATGGTGGGCCTGGAGAAGCTGGAGTTCTCCGAGTCCCAGGTGAGTCTCAGGAAATCTTCCATGTAGAGTGTCCTACATTACCCATAGGGTTAGAAATGAACCCAGCTCAGAAACATTGTATGTTCACTGGTGCAGATATCACCTCACACCCACCAGTGTGCTGTTTAAATCATCCGGACAGCATTGTTGACGTCATTCAAATCTTTTTCTGTTGTCACACTAGAAATGACATCATAGCTGAAGATTGTAGATGTCATTCGACAATTATGGTTTTCTAAGAAGGCGGTTGTGATGAGTACATTTTTTTAACAGGGAGCTCCAAAGAATTAAGAAATAATGGGTAATAAAGAAATTATTATACTCGCAAGTGTGTCACATTAACTTTATTAAACTTGTGTAAAAATTCTTGTATTACTCTCGCTCTCACTTGGGGAATACAAGAATTCTGACACTTGTTGAATAAAATCAGTATGACACACATGTGAGTGTAATAATCCTGATGTACAGCATGCCTCCTCCGAGGAGTCACAGCTTTGTTATTATTCGGGTGATGTCAGTATCAAATAACATCACTAATCTCTCTGCCACTAAAGATGGTTTGCTTTATTTTTTATGCTCAAAACATAGGTTTTCTTTCTAATTTCAAACTGAAAAAGTTGGAAAATTGATTTTGGATGATGGAATCTAACCCTCTTGTCTTTTGAAATGAAATAACACCCTTAAGCCTCAGAGTTTTTAACTTATATCGACACATGTTGAGTTATTTCATGTCAAAAGACACTTGGTGAGATTCTCTATGCATTAAAAAGTTGACAAGATTTGACACTGCAGACGAGATAGTTGAGTCTTGGACAGTCAAATAAGTGGTCTGCTCGAGCACTCATGCCATCAGGGCATAATATCACACAGTCAGACCAGGTTATGTGATGTCTCCCATGTACAGGGTTTTGGGTTGCAGATCATGAAGTGTCATCTGTTCCTGTCCTTGCGGATCATGTAGTGACATCTGTTCCTGTTCTTGCAGATCATGTAGTGTCATTTGTTCCTGTTCTTGCAGATCATGTAGTGTCATCTGTTCCTGTTCTTGCAGATCATGTAGTGTCATTTGTTCCTGTTCTTGCAGATCATGTAGTGTCATCTGTTCATGTCCTTGCAGATCATGTAGTGTCATTTGTTCCTGTTCTTGCAGATCATGTAGTGTCATTTGTTTCTGTTCTTGCAGATCATGTAGTGTCATTTGTTCCTGTTCTTGCAGATCATGTAGTGTCATCTGTTCCTGTTCTTGCAGATCATGTAGTGTCATTTGTTTCTGTTCTTGCAGATCATGTAGTGTCATTTGTTTCTGTTCTTGCAGATCATGTAGTGTCATTTGTTTCTGTTCTTGCAGATCATGTTGTGTCATTTGTTTCTGTTCTTGCACATCATGTAGTGTCATTTGTTCCTGTCCTTGCAGATCATGTAGTGTCATTTGTTCCTGTTCTTGCAGATCATGTAGTGTCATTTGTTCCTGTTCTTGCAGATCAGGTAGTGTCATCTGTTCCTGTTCTTGCAGATCATGTAGTGTCATCTCTTCCTGTTCTTGCACATCATGTAGTGTCATTTGTTCCTGTTCTTGCAGATCATGTAGTGTCATCTCTTCCTGTTCTTGCAGATCATGTAGTGTCATTTGCTCCTGTTCTTGCAGATCATGAAGTGTCATCTCTTCCTGTTCTTGCAGATCATGTAGTGTATCTGTTCCTGTTCTTGTAGATCATGTAGTGTTATTTGTTCTGTTCTTGCAGATCATGTAGTGTCATTTGTTCCTGTTCTTGCAGATCATGTAGTGTCATTTGTTTCTGTTCTTGCAGATCATGTAGTGTCATCTGTTCCTGTTCTTGCAGATCATGTAGTGTCAAATGTTCCTGTTCTTGTAGATCAACGTGATGCAGGAGGAGCTGATAGATCTGCAGCCGAAGCTGATTGAGACCAGCAAGGAAACCGAGGAGCTCATCAAGATCATCGAGGAGGAGACGGTGGAGGTGGAAGAGAAGAAGAGAATAGTGGAGGCAGACGAGGCTAGGGCCAACAATGCCGCCATGGAGGCCAAGGGTATTAAGGTGAGTAATGTGGACTCCTGGTGTCTGGATGAGTCATTTGGCCTGCTGGTGTCTGTGTGAGTCATGTGGACTGCTGGTGTCTGTGTGAGTCATGTGGACTGCTGGTGTCTGGATGAGTCATGTGGACTCCTGGTGTCTGGATGAGTCACAAGGCCTGCTGGTGTCTGTGTGAGTCACAAGGCCTGCTGGTGTCTGTGTGAGTCATGTGGACTCCTGGTGTCTGGATGAGTCATTTGGCCTGCTGGTGTCTGTGTGAGTCATGTGGACTGCTGGTGTCTGTGTGAGTCATGTGGACTGCTGGTGTCTGTGTGAGTCATGTGGGCTGCTGGTGTCTGTGTGAGTCATGTGGACTCCTGGTGTCTGGATGAGTCATGTGGACTCCTGGTGTCTGTGTGAGTCATGTGGACTGCTAGTGTCTGTGTGAGTCATGTGGACTGCTGGTGTCTGTGTGAGTCATGTGGACTCCTGGTGTCTGGATGAGTCATGTGGACTCCTGGTGTCTGGATGAGTCACAAGGCTTGCTGGTGTCTGTGTGAGTCACAAGGCCTGCTGGTGTCTGGATGAGTCATTTGGCCTGCTGGTGTCTGTGTGAGTCATGTGGACTGCTAGTGTCTGTGTGAGTCATGTGGACTGCTGGTGTCTGTGTGAGTCATGTGGACTGCTGGTGTCTGTGTGAGTCATGTGGACTCCTGGTGTCTGGATGAGTCATGTGGACTCCTGGTGTCTGTGTGAGTCATGTGGACTGCTGGTGTCTGTGTGAGTCATGTGGACTGCTGGTGTCTGTGTGAGTCATGTGGACTCCTGGTGTCTGTGTGAGTCATGTGGACTGCTGGTGTCTGTGTGAGTCACAAGGCCTGCTGGTGTCTGTGTGAGTCATTTGGCCTGCTGGTGTCTGTGTGATGGTGTCAAGGCCATATATACATATAGTTAACTACTATTAGACCGGACCAAGTTTATGTACTTCCTTTGTGAATAAGGCTGACTCTTATGTTGGCATATTGTCCTTGAAAACAGAAGTGAACCTATTTGTTTACAATGTTACGTTTGTTGACACATGTTTGTTTCTTCTTCAAAGGATGAATGTGAGGCCAAGCTTGCTGTAGCTCTGCCGGCCTTGAACGCCGCTGTTGCCGCCCTCAACACTCTGAAGCAGAACGACATCTCCATCGTGAAGAACTTGCAGAATCCACCAGCAGGTGTGAAGCTGGTGATGGAGGCCGTCTGCATCATGAAGGTTGGTTGATGTGTGATCTCCGGAAACACTGACACATAACGCTGCAGAAACATTTGGCTTGGAGGAAAGAATGGTGATCTGACATGAAATTTTATCTTACAGTGCTATAAATGAGTTCCTTGGAATGTTGATACCGTATTCGCCGCAATAGGCGCCCAGGGCGCTCTCAAAATTAGAAATAAGGGGCTCTTATTAGAATATAATTTTGGTGAAAAATAAGTTCAAAGATCGTAAATTTCCGGATTTATGCTGACAGCCTGAAATGTTTATATACGACAGATATATATTTTTCCAGAAATTAATTGCCCATAATTAAGGGTGCACACACGAGTGTGTATTATACACAAATAAATAAGTCATGTGTACATTGATCAGTCGGAAGGGGTGCTAATTGGGATTGTTCACTAGCCAATATATTAGCAAATATCGACATGGGCGCTTATTAGAGCGGGGCGCTTATTACGTCGAATACGGTAATAGTGTTTCTGTTTTAGTGTTTTCTGAGTTAGTGGTTTTCTGTATTTTCCAGGGAATCCGTCCTGAGAGAAAGGTGGACCCGAATGGCAAGTCTGTAGAGGACTACTGGGCCCCTGCAAGGAAGGTAGGACTGAGTACTTTTCAAGTATTGATATCATATGAACATTTTCACCATCATTTCGCTGTGGACAGACAACACATATTTCTGAGTCGCAAGTAGGTAATTCTGTATATTACCCATAGTATTTATTTTCTGTTAAAATTCTAGAAAGTGTGTACATATTCCATAATTTGGTTGCTCTCTGCTGGTTTTCAGTCAAACCATAGGTGCCTCCCTCTACAATCTGCTTTAGAACAAATAATCTCCAGTCTCCCAAATTTTTCCTCAATAATCTCCAGTCTCCCCACTTTCTTCTCAATAATCTCCAGTCTCCCCACTTTCTTCTCAATAATCTCCAGTCTCCCCACCTTTCTTCTCCATTATCTCCAGTCTCCCCACCTTCCTTCTCAATAATCTCCAGTCTCTCCACCTACCTTCTCAATAATCTCCAGTCTCCCCACCTACCTTCTCAATAATCTCCAGTCTCCTCACCTACCTTCTCAATAATCTCCAGTCTCTCCACCTTCCTTCTCAATAATCTCCAGTCTCCCCACCTACCTTCTCAATAATCTCCAGTCTCCCCACCTTCCTTCTCAATAATCTCCAGTCTCCCCACCTCCCTGCTCAATAATCTCCAGTCTCTCCACCTTCCTTCTCAATAATCTCCAGTCTCCCCACCTTCCTTCTCAATAATCTCCAGTCTCCCCACCTTCCTTCTCAATAATCTCCAGTCTCCCCACCTCCCTGCTCAATAATCTCCAGTCTCTCCACCTTCCTTCTCAATAATCTCCAGTCTCCCCACCTCCCTGCTCAATAATCTCCAGTCTCCACATCTTGCTACTCAATAATCTCCAGTCTCTCCACCTTGACTCTCAATAATCTCCAGTCTCTCAACGTATCTTCTCAATAATCTCCAGTCTCCCCACCTTCCTTCTCAATAATCTCCAGTCTCCCCACTTACTCTCTCAATAATCTCCAGTCTCCCCACCTTCCTTCTCAATAATCTCCAGTCTCTCCACCTTACTTCTCAATAATCTCCAGTCTCTCAACCTTATTTCTCAATAATCTCCAGTCTGTAAATATCAGCACTGATTTGAGGACAAAATTACAAAAAGAATTTTAAGCTTTAGCCTTATGTCAGAACTTTCTGATTCTTGTGTTTTGAGCAAGCTTTAAATTTGTTTTTTTTAAAAATAATAATACTTAAATGGATTGAAAAAAATGAATTCTTTTTGTAATTTTGTTCTTATGATAAAATAGCCTCAAATCAGTGCTGATATTTCAAAAAACATTTCCCTGTTTTTTGTTTATTAACCAAGCTACTCTGTAAGACAAGATGTAAATATGTCTTCCCTGGCATGTGTTTCCTCATGACCCCAGATGCTGGGTGACATGAAGTTCCTGGAGTCTCTGAAGGAGTATGACAAGGACAACATCCCCGTGGCAACCATCAAGAAGATCCGGGACAAGTACATCAACAACCCAGACTTCGACCCGGCAATTATCAAGAACGTGTCCTCAGCCTGTGAGGGTCTCTGCAAGTGGGTGCGAGCCATGGATGTTTATGATGGCGTCATCAAGGTGAGTGGGTACCTGATCATAGAGGTGGTGAGGGTGATGAGCCTTCATCTTGTCAACACGAAGGTAGTCATATAACAATGGACTGAAGAATCAATGAAATAACTATTGTTTGTTTTAAAACACACTCAGCAAAATTCCAGCAAACTGACAGCTGTCTGAAAATAATCAAGTCTAGACCAGATACTCATCTCTTTTAAAAATGCTGGATCTGACCTTGATACTCCAGTGAATAACACCATGAGCCTCAGTCTACTCAGTTGGGATATGATGACAAATATGACATGCATCAACCAAGTCCACAAGCCTGACAACCTGATCCTGTTAGTCTCTTGTTCCGACAAGCATTGGTTGCTGAAGACCAAGGTCTAACCAGGATCTTCATAGGGTGTGTGGACTGAGGTATGCATGAGAATTAAACCTCTCCTCATGGATTTACTGCCACACTACACTGTGTGGCAACTTAGTTGAGTCTCCCATTGGGTGAGTGAAAGAGTTGGGTTGCTTTGAAATGTATTTCAGTGACATCATATAACTTCTTAGCCTAGTGTTGGAGGAAGTCCAAACTGATGCATGTCGTACAAAACCAGGAGTATGTGATGCTGAAAGAGGATGGTATTCCAACCAATGACAAGCAGGTCCTGGGAGATAAGGGAGACAACTCTGCACAGTGAATTGCAGTGACTAGGACCTTAGCGCTTTCTGTGCACCCTATTACAACCCTTGTTGAACTATCATGGATTCTAAACAAAGACGATGCCCCACAATCTTTTGCACATTTCCAGTCAAGGTCTATACCGTTTGTCTTAATTAGTCCATTGTATGATATTCAATAGGACTGGGACAAGTCCATATTTACAACCCGGGTACACAACACCCTATTACCTGACCATCCCTGTGTACCCACTGTAGGTTTCAAGAGTTGTTTTTTCGGAGCCCTGGCAAATACTATTTACATACACATATAAAACGATCAGGTCATGCATACACTGAAGTCAATTAAAGTTATATCTTTTCTCAAACATATAAAATAAGAAACAATGCGTTCAAAGTCAGAAAGAAATGCAAACATAAGGGACTTTTATTGTTACTGTATTTTAACAATATATTACGTGACTAACCGGAGGTCCTGGTAGTCTTATGAGTACCGAAGTCCTAATATGGTCATGGTTTCCCTGTTGGCCCTGATTATGGTTCTTGGTATGTCAGGGGGCACGGGTGGCCCAGTCGTCTAAGATTCTCTGTGCAGAGTTGCGTCCCTTGGAAACGCCAGAAACCTATGATTGTGTGTTCGAATCCCGGTTCGCCCCAATTATGTTTCTAGGTTTGTCAGCACCATACCCGTGCTCGTGGGTTTCACCGAAGTGGTAAACGTCTGAGACCTGCATCACTTCGGGCTTTCCTCCCACATTAAGCTGACATGCCGCGATATAACTGGAATACTGTTAAAAGCGGCCTAAAACCCAACTCACTCACTCACTTGGTATGTCAGCACCATTATGTCGAAGCTGTGCTTGTGGGTTCCACAGAGGTGCACATATAAGACCTGCATCACTTCGGCTCTCCTCCCACATTACTTTGATGCGTCATGATATCCGTATCTGGAATACTGTTCAAAGTGACACTGAACCCAACTCACTCACTCACTCACTCACTGATGACCGGCAGGTGGTGGCGCCCAAGCAGCAGAGTCTGGCTATGGCAGAAGGGGTTCTTGAAGACCAGATGGCCAAGTTGAAGGAGAAGCAGGCCGAACTGAAGACCGTCCGCGACAAGCTGGCCAACCTCAACGACCATCTCAACCAGAAACAGACCGAGAAAAAGGTCAGGGCAGATTTCTTTCAGTATCAAAGATGCTGCTGTAACAAAACCTTTTGAAATACTCTCATGAATATTATTAGAATGATTCAACATTAAACAACCTAAAATAAAACAGAACTTAAGTTAAATGCATCAGCATCTTCTGCTTTTTATCTGATGTTATTGTAGCAGGGCATGGAGTCATCCCACAGATGACATCCTTACCTTGTTAGCTTGCTGACGGGGTTAACATCTTTGGTCATGTGGACAAGGCGTCCGACCTCTGCTCAGAAGGTCCATGGTTCGAATCCCATCACAGGACTTTGAAATTTTATGGCTGCTTGTTTACATTATAATGAAATGATTTAAATGTCGGTGTCTGTTTTTTATCCACCATTTAGAACCTCGAGGATAACATTGAGCTGACGAAGGTGAAGATAGAGCGGGCCAACAAGCTGATCAGTGGCCTGGGTGGAGAGAGGTCACGGTGGACACAGAATGTCCACGAGCTCAGCGAGACGTATGACAACATCGTGGGTGACGTCCTCCTCTCAGCTAGTGTGGTGGCCTATCTTGGACCTTTTATTCTGGATTATAGGCTGGTGAGAAATGACTCAATCCCGACAGTAGCATCCTAACTAAAATTGTAACACAATTGTAATTGTAATTCAATAACACACTTTCATTAACAAATGATGGATACTGTGTAATGATGTCTATTCGTCATCTGTTGGACATCTGTGATATCTGTGCGTCGTCTGTCTGACATCTGTGTTTCTTCTGTGATCTTTGTGTGTCATCTGTGATGTCTGTGTGTCATCTGTGATCTTTGTGTGTTGTATGTGATCTCTGTGTGTCATCTGTAATGTCTGTTTGTCATCTGTGTGTCATCTGTGATGTCTGTGTGTCATCTGTAATGTCTGTTTGTCATCTGTGTGTCATCTGTGATCTCTGTTTGTCATCTTTCATCTTTGTGTGTCATCTGTGTGACATCTGTGATCATTGTGAATCATCTGTGATATCTGTGTGTCATCTGTGACATCTGTGATCAATGTGAGTCATCTGTGATCTCTGAGTGTCATCTGTGTGTCATCTTTGACATCTGTGATCAATGTGTGTCATTTGTGATCTCTGTGTGTCATCTGTGATCTCCATGTGTCATCTGTGATCTCTGTGTGTCATCTGTGATCTCCGTGTGTCATCTGTGATCTCCGTGTGTCATCTGTAATGTCTGTGTGTCATCTGTGATCTCTGTGTGTCATCTGTAATGTCTGTGTGTCATCTGTGATCTCCGTGTGTCATCTGTGATCTCTGTGTGTCATCTGTGATCTCTGTGTGTCATCTGTGATCTCCGTGTGTCATCTGTGTGACATCTGTGACATATATATGTCATCTATAATGTCTGTGTGTCATCTGTAATGTCTGTGTGTCATCTGTAATGTCTGTATGTCATCTGTGATCTCTGTGTGACATCTGTGTGTCATCTGTAATGTCTGTGTGACATCTGTGTGTCATCTGTAATGTCTGTGTGTCATCTGTGATCTCTGTGTGTCATCTGTGATCTCCGTTTGTCATCTGTGATCTCCGTGTGTCATCTGTAATGTCTGTGTGTCATCTGTGACATCTGTGTGTCATCTGGTATCTCCGTGTGTCATCTGTGACATCTCTGTGTGTCATCTGTGATCTCCGTGTGTCATCTGTGTGACATCTGTGACATATATACGTCATCTGTAATGTCTGTGTGTCATCTGTAATGTCTGTATGTCATCTGTGATCTCTGTGTGACATCTGTGTGTCATCTGTAATGTCTGTGTGTCATCTGTGATCTCTGTGTGTCATCTGTGATCTCCGTGTGTCATCTGTGACATCTCTGTGTGTCATCTGTGATCTCCGTGTGTCATCTGTGTGACATCTGTGACATATGTACGTCATCTGTAATGTCTGTGTGTCATCTGTAATGTCTGTGTGTCATCTGTGATCTCTGTGTGACATCTGTGTGTCATCTGTAATGTCTGTGTGTCATCTGCGATCTCTGTGTGTCATCTGTGATCTCCGTGTGTCATCTGTGACATCTGTGTGTCATCTGTGATCTCCGTGTGTCATCTGTGACTTCTGTGTGTCATCTGTGATCTCCCTGTGTCATCTGTGTGACATCTGTGACATATATATATGTCATCTATAATGTCTGTGTGTCATCTGTAATGTCTGTGTCATCTGTGTGACATCTGTGTGTCATTTGTGTGACATCTGTGATCTCCGTGTGTCATCTGTGTGACATCTGTGACATATATATGTCATCTGTAATGTCTGTGTGTCATCTGTAATGTCTGTGTGTCATCTGTAATGTCTGTGTGTCATCTGTGATCTCTGTGTCATCTGTGTGACATCTGTGATCTCTGTGTCATCTGTGTGACATCTGTGTGTCATCTGTGATCTCTGTGTCATCTGTGTGACATCTGTGTGTCATCTGTGATCTCTGTGTGATCTCTGTGTCATCTGTGTGTCATCTGTAATATCTGTGTCATCTGTGTGACATCTGTGTGTCATCTGTGATCTCTGTTTCATCTGTGTGTCATCTGTGACATCTGTGTGTCATCTGTGATCTCTTTGTGTCATCTGTGTGACATATGTGACATTTGTGTGTCATCTGTGATCTCTGTGTCATCTGTGTGACATCTGTGTGTCATCTGTGCTGCAGGAGTGCCTGAAGGAGTGGTATGACATGTGTAAAGACAAGGGGATCCCAGTGTCTGAGACCTTCTCTCTGTCAAGCACTCTTGGAGATCCAGTCAAGATCCGAGACTGGCAGATAGCCGGTCTCCCGGTCGACAAGTAAGTACCATAGCGTCATAGTAACCTAGACCTTAAACCTCAGTAAGTACTATCAAGGCTTAGAATTGGTTACCTCCACCTGTCTTGCAATAGATTAACACACACTTTAGATTATTTATTTTTTATTACTCAGCAATATTCCAGCTATATGAAGGTGGCCTCTAAACAATCGAGTCTTGACCAGACAATCCAGTGACTGATTTTATAAGCAATGCTCCGCATTGTCAATGTATGTTGACACATCATCAACCAAGTCACTGAGTCTCATCACCCGTTCCATTATGTCGCCTCTTACGTCCAGCGTAGGTTGCTGGGGGCCAATCCTAACCAGGCATCCCCATGGGTTCCTCATTAAGTGGCCTCTTGTGTGTAGCAGTGGGGTGCTGGGGGCACAGACTACCCTAGGTCCTTACAGGGGTATAAACAAATATTTATAGAAATCATACTATATGTACTTGCCTATTTGTTTCTCATGGATATAGAAATTTGTTAAATATTTCTTCAAAAGTAAAGTTAGACAGTTTGTATGTATGAAATGAAACATGAAGAAATGTTAATACTGTTCTGTCATCATACCTGTACCTCAAAGTCAAGTTAGCTGAGCTAGCATCCCTTGCTTACCCACTTGTGTAGCTGTCTCTCATCTCTCTCTCCCAGTTGCATAGTTATCTCTCATGTCTCTCTCCCAGTTGTGTAGTTGTCTCTCATGTCTCTCCCCACTTGTGTAGTTGTCTCTCAAGTCTCTCTCCCAGTTGTGTAGTTGTCTCTCATGTCTCTCCCAGTTGTGTAGTTGTCTCTCATGTCTCTCTCCCAGTTGCATAGTTGTCTCTCTCATGTCTCTCCCACTTGTGTAGTTGTCTCTCATGTCTCTCTCCAAGTTGTATAGTTGTCTCTCATGTCTCTCTCCCACAGCTACTCTGTGGACAACGCCATCATCGTGACGTCAGCCAACCGATGGCCGCTAATGATCGACCCTCAAGGTCAGGCCAACAAGTGGATCAAGAACATGGAGAAGGCCAATAAGCTTGAGGTCGTCAAACTGTCCGACCCCAACTACACTCGAGGTCTTGAAAACTGCCTTCAGGTAGGAGGAACAGGTTGTCAGTGTGGAGCAGTTGTCTGACGCACCATGTCTTCACGTTTGATATTCTAGTCCATGATTTTTCTCACAAATTACAAACAAGACAAAATTCCCAAAGAATGAATGTAAAAAATTAAGCCACGCCCACCGAAGCGGACTACTTTTATAACTACAGAACGTCGTTGAAGTTATGTGCATAAATTAAACAATTACCTGATTCATGTCATGCCACAGAATGTATTCCTACACCTGAAAAGTTTATCAATCTTCTCATTTTTGTCTGCTTTGAGATATAAAACTCTTGTTGGTTAAACTATTGTAGATAACACAAGTTTTCGTTGTCAAATTTAATTATAAGGATTAACTGTGGATTTTTTTGGGTTCATTAAGGTATAAATCGAAAAACTGATGTGCAAACTGTATCAATCCACATAGCGGATTCTTACAAAAGTCAATCCACAGTCAATCCTTAAATGGATAGTCAGGCGTTCCAATGAAAAACCAGCAGAGATCGACCAACTTATGGAATATGTACACACTCTTGTTGGAAATAGCCACATAAATTACAAGAAGGACTCAACCCGCCACATTTTCAAACACAGTGAATCACGCAGACTGCAACCAACTGAGTGAGTACGTAACCGGTTTGTTGTGGACTCCACTATAAATGTGGCTTGTTTTAATCATTATAATGCACGCTTTATGGGGGTTGAGTCCTTCTTGTAATTTATGTGGCTATTTCCAACAAGAGTGTGTACATATTCCATAAGTTGGTCGATCTCTGCTGGTTTTTCATTGGAACGCCTGACTATCCATTTAAGGATTGACTGTGGATTGACTTTTGTAAGAATCTGCTATGTGGATTGATACTGTTTGCACATCGGTTATTCAGCTAATAAGAATGCAGGATTTACAATGAACACAGCAAAAATTTTATTATTACAGTAAACTACATGTACGTTTATAACAAACAATCTTATAACAAACTGACAGATACTACAAACTGGACTCTTGGTCCTGGCCATTTGCTGTATATACTTTGCATATATCATTATAATGATCTACGGTTATAGCAAACTAAAATTAGTGGTCCCTTTGAGTTTGTTATAACAGGAGTTTACTGTATATGATAAAATTATATATTATGATACATTTTCACTTACTTTAAGTTATTGTAAAGTTGAAGATACATTTTTTTATTTATTATACCCCCGACCTTTTAGGTCTGTCCGTCCGCCCGTCCGAAAACTTTGTCCGCGCGATTTCTCTTAAACTATTCAGTGGATTTATCTCAAACTTAGGACATATAATCTGTGTCATATGGAGGGGTGCAGTCAAAAGAAAAAAATTGTTTTTATTAATTTTCCATTTTTTTATGATTTTTTCAAAGCCTAACCCTATCCATTATTAAATTTGAAACTACTGACACACTAGGCGAGTCGGGGGTATTAGTGAGCCATGCTCACTTTTGCCCTTGTTAAGTGTTGTCATGTGAGAAATGACTACAATTTCTGAAAATCCAAATTGAGGAATTGTTGAAGTTGGCGTTGTTCAGTTCTTCATTATTAAGTTCAGTGTTGGAATAACGAACCCTGGATTCTAGTGACGAAGGTACAAGGGGGTATGCTGTTTGCTGCAGCTGAGTCATGTGTTGTCCATTCTGCAGTTCGGGAACCCCTGTCTCCTGGAGAACATCGGGGAGGAGCTGGACCCCATCTTGGAACCCATCCTGCTGAAACAGACATTCAAACAGGTCAGGAGGATAGGAAGAATTTGTAATGAAACTGGGGCGGTCGGGTAGCCTAGTGGTTAAAGCGTTCACTCGTCACACCGAAGACCCGGGTTCGATTCCCGACATGGGTACAATCTGTGACGCCCAGTTCTGGTGTCCCCCGCCGTGATATTGCTGGAATATTGCTAAAAGCGGCATAAAATCATACTCACTCACTCACTGTAATGAAACTCATTCCCGTTGGAATATCCTAATAATTGATAAGCGCAGACATTCAAGGGAGCAATTGATCTGACAGCAGTGTAAAGAAAGTAACTCTCACTGGCCTACATCCGTTATACAGGGGTCGTGTGGCCGTGTTTGATCATTAAAATGTGTTACAGTCTGTCGGATAAGACACATATATATAGTGAAGAGAAGTGCAACATTCTTTTTTTACCATTACATGTTTTCGAAGCACTGATGCATCTTTGCGAGGTAAGGGAGTTAACTGCCTGTAAAAGTCCATTTTCCACCCTTGTGGAACAAGGCTGGAATTTCTGGGCTCGATCGTAGCGCCACCAGTGGCTATTACGAGTTATGCGTGAAGTGCATCAAATCACGTGAGGACAACCTTGTTCGGCAAAGGTGGAAACTAGACTTTTATGGTCAGTTAACTCCCTTGCCTCTGGAAGATGGCACTGATGGGGATGTGGAAGTAGCTTCAAATATTTGCAAGGGAAACTATTTCAGTATTTTCTAAATGTGTATTTTCTTGTTTCCTATTTTGTTTCAAGGATGTAAGTAAATTGTTACTCCTAACTTTGCATGTTTATCACTAGCGTCTGTGAGATATGCATGTTTACCACCAGTATCTGTCCTTGAGATATGCATGTTTTTTTCTGTGGGATATGCATGTTTATCACCAGTGTCTGTTTGTGGGATATGCATGCTTATCACCAGTGTATGTATGTTAGATATGTATGTTTATTTCCAGTGTCTGTCTGTGGGATATGCATGTTTATCATCAGTCTCTGTCTGTGAGATATACATGTTTATCTCCAGTGTGTCTGTGGGATATGCATGTTTATCATCAGTCAGTGTCTGTCTGTGGGATATGCATGTTTATCACCAGTGTCTGTCTGTGGGATATGCATGTTTATCATCAGTCAGTGTCTGTCTGTGGGATATGCATGTTTATCACCAGTGTCTGTCTGTGGGATATGCATGTTTATCACCAGTGTCTGTCTGTGGGATATGCATGTTTATCATCAGTCAGTGTCTGTCTGTGGGATATGCATGTTTATCACCAGTGGCTGTCTGTAGGATATGCATGTTTATCACCAATGTCTGTCAGTGGGATATGCATGTTTATCACCAGTGGCTGTCTGTGGGATATGCATGTTTATCACCAGTGCCTGTCTGTGGGATATGCATGTTTATCACCAGTGTCTGTCAGTGGGATATGCATGTTTATCACCAGTGCCTGTCTGTGGGATATGCATGTTTATCACCAGTGTCTGTCAGTGGGATATGCATGTTTATCACCAGTGGCTGTCTGTGGGATATGCAAGTTTATCACCAGTGCCTGTCTGTGGGATATGCATGTTTATCACCAGTGTCTGTCAGTGGGATATGCATGTTTATCACCAGTGCCTGTCTGTGGGATATGCATGTTTATCACCAGTGCCTGTCTGTTGGATATGCATGTTTATCACCAGTGTCTGTCAGTGGGATATGCATGTTTATCACCAGTGGCTGTCTGTGGGATATGCATGTTTATCACCAGTGCCTGTCTGTGGGATATGCATGTTTATCACCAGTGTCTGTCAGTGGGATATGCATGTTTATCACCAGTGTCTGTCTGTGGGATATGCATGTTTATCACCAGTGCCTGTCTGTGGGATATGCATGTTCATAAGAATTCAGTGTGACAATATAGACATGGTATGTAAATGGTGTAGATTTTTCTTTGTTGATGGTATGGTAGATGATACAAATAGATATGATGGTCAAAAGAAAATACAATGAAATGTGCTATTTATATTATAGTGTGGTCTTTAACAAATCCCAGGTAGTTTTATAGTTGATAATTCTATTATTTTTGTATGTTATATACCTAATCCTGTATGGTATGAATGTTTACACTATAAGGACATATTGTATTTGGTGGTTGTAGAGATAGTATCCCTTGGGATTTTATAGTACTATATATTTTATATAGTTATAAACAAAGCTGTGATTGTTCTTCAGGAATAACATGAATAAATTGTTTTCTGTCAACAACCTAAATATTTTATAACATTTCAATTTTTAAATCTAAACATGTTGAGATATATATTGAAAATTAAGATAACATTATGAAAGTTTAAATACTGACTGTTGTAAGTGTAGGTTATGATATGTGAAATAACATTCAACATTAATCATGTTTTCTCCATTTTCTATCAGAACGGCCTGGACTACATCCGGATTGGGGAGCACATTGTGGAGTACAGCAAGGACTTCAAGTTCTACATCACGACCTGCATGAGGAACCCACACTACCTACCTGAGGTGTCCGTGAAGGTGAGTTAACAAACCAACACTACCTACCTGGGGTGTCCGTGAGTTAACGAACCCACACCACCTACGTGAGGTGTCTGTGAAGGTGAGTTAACGAACCCACACCACCTACGTGAGGTGTCTGTGAAGGTGAGTTAACGAACCCACACCACCTACGTGAGGTGTCTGTGAAGGTGAGTTAACGAACCCACACCACCTACCTGAAGTGTCTGTGAAGGTGAGTTAACGAACCTACACTACCTAAGTGAGGTGTCTGTGAAGGTGAGTTAACGAACCCACACCACCTACGTGAGGTGTCTGTGAAGGTGAGTTAACGAACCCACACCACCTACGTGAGGTGTCTGTGAAGGTGAGTTAACGAACCCACACCACCTACGTGAGGTGTCTGTGAAGGTGAGTTAACGAACTAACACTACCTACGTGAGGTGTCTGTGAAGGTGAGTTAACGAACCCACACTACCTACGTGAGTAGTGTGAAGGTGAAGTGTGAAGGTGAGTTAATGAACCCACGCTACCTACGTGAGGTGTCTGTGAAGGTGAGTTAACCAACTAACACCACCTACGTGAGGTGTCTGTGAAGGTGAGTTAACAAACTAACACTACCTACGTGAGGTGTCTGTGAAGGTGAGTTAACGAACCCACACTACCTACGTGAGTAGTGTGAAGGTGAAGTGTGAAGGTGAGTTATCGAACTAACACTACCTACGTGAGGTGTCTGTGAAGGTGAGTTAACGAACCCACGCTACCCACGTAAGTAGTGTGAAGGTGAGTTAATGAACCCACACTACCTACGTAAGGTGTCTGTGAAGGTGAGTTAACGAACCCACACTACCTACGTGAGTAGTGTGAAGGTGAATTAACAAACCCACACTACCTACGTGAGGTGTCTGTGAAGGTGAGTTAACAAACCAACACTACCTACCTGAGGTGTCTGTGAAGGTGAGTTAACGAACCCACACTACCTACGTGAGTAGTGTGAAGGTGAAGTGTGAAGGTGAGTTAATGAACCCACGCTACCTACGTGAGGTGTCTGTGAAGGTGAGTTAACGAACTAACACTACCTACGTGAGGTGTCTGTGAAGGTGAGTTAACGAACCCACACTACCTACGTGAGGTGTCTGTGAAGGTGAGTTAACGAACTAACACTACCTACGTGAGGTGTCTGTGAAGGTGAGTTAACGAACCCACACTACCTACGTGAGGTGTCCGTGAAGGTGAGTTAACAAACCAACACTACCTACCTGAGGTGTCTGTGAAGGTGAGTTAACAAACCAACACTACCTACCTGAGGTGTCTGTGAAGGTGAGTTAACGAACCCACACTACCTACGTGAGTAGTGTGAAGGTGAAGTGTGAAGGTGAGTTAATGAACCCACGCTACCTACCTGAAGTGTCTGTGAAGGTGAGTTAACGAACCTACACTACCTAAGTGAGGTGTCTGTGAAGGTGAGTTAACGAACCCACACTACCTACCTGAGGTGTCCGTGAAGGTGAGTTAATGATCTCACAATTTCTGTTTGAGGTGTCCATGCTTGTGAATTGTCAGAATTGTCAATGTTTTGATATTCTTCTCCTTTAACTTGATAGCTTAGTACATGAAATACATTTACAAAGCAATTAAAGGCATTGTTCAGTGTAGCTCATTTGTAATATATCCTTCTTGCTCCAGGTAAATGAGAGAATATACTCAGAATACCTAGCTTTGATATTCATACACCTGAGCTGATAATCTAATCCTCCTACTTACAGGTGACCCTCCTGAACTTCATGATCACCCCCCTGGGTCTGGAGGACCAGCTGTTGGGGATTGTGGCCGCTAAGGAGAAGCCAGCGCTGGAGGAAACAAAGAACCAGCTGATTGTGGAGAGCGCCAAGAACAAACGCCAGCTGAAAGAGATTGAGGACAAGATTCTGGAGGTCTTATCAACATCACAGGTGGGTAAAAACTTGAGGTCTTGACTGTCCCAGGTCAGTTGACCCTCAAGGTCTGTCCAGCATTCCAGATTCTGCAGGTCCTGCCAACATTCCAGATCCTTGAGGTCTTGTCAGTATTCCAGATCTTGGAGGTCCTGCCAGCATTTCAGATCTTAGAAGTATTGCCAGCTTTCCAGATCTTGGAAGTCTTGTCAACATTTCAGATCCTGGAGGTCTTCTAAAAATTCCAGATCTTGGAAGTCTTGTCAACATTTCAGATCCTGGAGGTCTTCTAAAAATTCCAGATCTTTGAGGTCCTGTCAACATCACAGAACCTAGAGGCATTGTCAACAACCCAGGTTCCAGAGTGACAGATCTGTTCTTGATTGTGTCCAAGGACTTTAATGGTAGTCTTAGAGCATCGAAATGCCTAGAGGACTAACATGGACCAATCTCATTAAAATCGGATCTTAGTTCTCGCTACCGCTAAACAAAGATCTGAGGACATCCCATTACGGGTCACGTCAGACCGACCTTGCGCTAACTTTGACCGACCAATGGAATGACCAATCAGAAGGCAGCTTTCTCGTGCTTTGCGGCACTAATTTCAAATTGGCGACTACGCTTCGAAACATATTTTGACAAATTCTCGATTACAAATTTGAAACCTGAACAAAACACATTCTGGAATGGCTAATAGATGGTCTAGATTGTAAGGATTCAGTTGTTAAACCCGTAACTATCGTTCGGAATACCCCATATTAAAGTTTTGGAGATTTCATGATTAGAAATCACATTCCGACTGTCACTTTCAAAATCTGGTAAGCGACACACTGATTGGTTGGATGAAAGGTCGTTCTGACGTGACCCCTAATGGGATGTCTTCAAATCTTTGTTTAGCGGTAGCGAGAACTAAGGTCTGATTTTAATGAGATTGGTACATGGACTTAATCGTGTTCTATGTCTTCAAATAGTAGTTCCTGAAGCATCAAGCTTGTATGACAGGCAAAGGTTTTGTTAATGAAGTCAAGCTTGTCTGATGGATGGAGATGTACTTTACACATTATCTTGTCCTCTTTCCAGTCACTGTCATGGACAGTCCCCATTAGATACACCCTGTCTGCTATTATATATGTCACATGATGTCTTTCAGGGAAATATTCTGGAAGATGAGACAGCCATAGAAATATTGTCCTCAAGCAAGGTTCTGTCAGAGGAGATCTCAGAGAAACAGCAGATCGCATCTCAGACCGAGGCAGAGATCGACCAAGTCAGAAATGGCTACAAGCCAGTGAGTAAATTATCTTCTTGATAGTCATATACCTGCCTAGCACCTTGAATGATGGTTCTGTCGTGGTCAGAAGGCTTCATCCTCATCCATGTTGTGGCAGTACTGCTGCAGCCATATGTACAGCATTAACTTGGTTTGGTTTTAAGTAAGGATAAGGATCTATGGATGAACAACTTCTTTATTACAATTAAGAGCGACGTTTCGGGGGAGGTTCTAACACTGGTATCAAGCAAGTGACATACAGTGTGTGTGATATAAAGAAGTTGTTCATCCAAAGATTCTTACCACACTCTGTATATCACTTGCTTGATAACGGTGTTAGAACCTACACCGAAACGTCGCTCTTAATTGTAGTAAAGAAGTTGTTCATCCATAGATTCTTATCCTTAATTAGTACTCCAACTTCTAAATGCCTATCAAAGAAGTTGGCTTGGTTTTGTTTGGTTTGTTTGATGTTTAACGCTGCATTCAGCAACATTCAAGCTATATGACGGCGATCTGTAAATAATCAAGTCCGGACCAGACAATCCAGTGATTGACATCATGACCATCGATCAACACAATTTGCGATCCCGTTAGTCGCCTCTTACCTTGGTAGTCTCATCCATCAATAGTAAGATGAAATGATCATGCCTGTGATTTGAGTGTCCTCTGTGTTCCAGGTAGCGAAACACGGCAGCATGCTGTTCTTCACCATCTCCGATCTGGCCAATATTGACCCCATGTATCAGTACTCCCTCACCTGGTTCATCAACCTATATCTACAGGTAACTAGCAATCTTCAGGTGACACTATCTACAGGTTTCTCCACAAATTACAGTCTGTGCCCAGGTAACACCATGTTCACAGATACCGTATTTCCTTGAGTATAGTGCACACTTTTTTAAAAAAAAAACCCAGCTGTCTAGAAGGGGGTGAGCATAATACACGCCATAATGAGTTTTGATGGGTTTTTTCTCCCAACGCAAAGACGTTACCGGGGTAGTGTTTTTTCATCAGGTTCTACATGTTCCTGAGGCAAAGGTGTTAACTGATTATATAAACCTACTGGCTGTTTGTGTAACTCGATATGGAGTTTTTGAAATTGTGGTAACACCTCATAGGAGGTATTACAACGATTGTAACACCTCGCAGGAGGTATTACAACGATTGTAACACCTCGCAGGAGGGCTTACATACATTGTAAACCCTTGATAGAACAAAAACTACGATCAGTCTACAAGACGCACGTGCAGATTTCGCACCGTTCGCATTTCGCACCGGTTTCATTGAACCGAGTTCACGACTGGATACGATATTTCATCTCCGATACAGGTTATACATTTGAGAGTTTTTATTACAGTTATTTAATTAAAAACGTTGTCTATGCGATGAGTCTGTTTATAAGTTGGACAAACCATGTCTCCTCGAGATTACTAGTGATTGTAAACCCTCACATTCGGCCCCCTCGGGACGTTCCCTCATGTGAGGGTTTACAATCTCTAGTAATCCCTTGGAGACATGGTTTCTCCTACACATAACAGTCCAGTTTCAACCCTTGCTGAACTTGGCTGGAGTCTTGGCGTTATATTTTGGCTGGACTAATGAGTCTATGCACAGTCCAATCAAAATCGCGTAACGAAATCGACATCCGGTTCGCAAATTGCCGTCCATGCAGGATTTGCAAAGCATGTCTACCACCAACTTGGCGTCAATAGATATTTTTCAAATCTGTTCATGTTTTTAATGAAGGTGCTCACATGATTTGATGCTTCACCAAGTAAGACCCGCTTTATCACAATATAGATTTTGATTATCAATCAGTTCGTCTTGACTAGGCACCACCATTTTGATTGCATATGAGAGGTGCAATCTGATTGGTCAGTTGGAGGGATATAGAAGGGACATAACTTGTAGTAGCCACTGGTGGCACTACGATCAAATCGAGAAATTCCAGCCTAGTTTTACAGTCTGTTAACTCCCTTGCCTTGGGATGATGCAGATTCTATTCATCAATGTGGGGCAACAGTCTAGCCAACATGGGGATCTACCCGATGTCAGTACAGTGTAGCCTAGTGTTGGTCTGTTTAGATCCTGTAGATGACCTAAGCTGTGTGTGTTTCAGTCTATCATGAACAGCGAGCCCTCTGAGCAGCTTAATGTGAGGATCTACAACCTGAACGACCACTTCACCTACAGCATCTACAAAAACGTCTGTCGCTCTCTGTTTGAGAAGGACAAACTGCTCTTCTCATTTCTCCTGTGCATTGGGCTGGAGAAAGGGAGGTAAGTTTCATTGTTATACCTCTGTTAAGAATCTTGCAATTCTATTGGTTAATCCGTACCACATGACAAAACAATACTTACAATGTGGACCCCCAAATCATGTGACTGACAGTGACCTCGAATATTGACTTGTAACATGATCAGTATTGACCTGTCACGTTATGAATATTGACTCGTCTGCTAGAAAACAAGATGGCACCTGGTACGAACATTTCATGGTTTACAGCTAAGTTACTGTAATGAAACAGAGGACAGTTTAAAATCATAAACATTGAAGTAAATTTTAGTATAACACAATCTCATTAAAATCAGACCCAAGTTCTCGCTGCTGCGAAACAAAGATCTTAGTACATCCAATTACGGGTCACGTCTGTAATATTCTCACGATTTGGGAATGATTTGTAGCACTTGAACTAGCCCTAGGCTGTTGCTGCCTCCGACGAATAAATAATGGAGAACGACATTCTGTGTTCCATCTTGTATTTATTGCCATAAATACACGGGTGGTACATCTGGTAAAACAGGGGGTCCCGACGGCTAGGTCGCCAAGGGAGATTACTCTAATATGTTATACACCATCACAGCCGCTAGTGGCATAATGCAGTATGATAACAGTACAACGTCAGAACCACCTTTCGCGAACTTTGACCGACCACTGAAATGACTAACAAGAAGTCGACATCAGCTAATTAGAAAGCAGTTTTCTCGAGCTTTACGGCACTCATTTCAACCTGGCGACTTCCATTTCAGACTTCGCTTGAAAAATAAGTTGACACAGTTCCTGATTAAAATTTTGAAAACTGAACTAACGAACGTTCTGGAATGTCTAATGTATGGTTGCAATTGTATGGCAGTGCTTCCCACGTATTATACAACGCCTCCTCCGTTCATATTTTTATCCCGCGGAAGCGAGAGATGGACGATGATTTTGACGGAATCTGTCGTAGGGGCCGTAACTGTTGTTCGGAACACCCCGTGTTAACGTTTTGGAGGTTGCATGATTAGAAAACACATTCTGACTGTCACTTTCCTGATCTGGTAAGCGACGCTTTGATTGGTCGGATGAAAGGTCGTTCTGACTTGACCCGTAATGGGATGTCCTCAGATCTTTGTTTAGTAATAGTGAGAACTAAGATCTGATTTTAATGAGATTGAGTATAACAAAACAAATGATTACTCTTTGACGAGGTCAATATGTGAAAACCACCTCGGTATATCGTCTATCGGTCTGACCACCTCGGTGTCGGGTCCTTGTTTTTGTATGTACAGACCTGGTCAAGAGTAATTATATGTACAATGTTGACTGTTAAGAAAACAAATTGACTCAATACAAAACAAGTCTGTTGTTTCAAAGCAAAGAAGCAAAATATTTTCAATTATGGTCTAACAAATTATACAAAAATTCCCGTATTTGTGGTCTTTGGAACATTTTTTGGTGTTGTGGATGATCTATCACTACCAGATAATGTGCTACAGTGTGTGATGTTGCCTTTGACAGAGGTCTTGTGGATGACCAGGAGTGGCGGTTCCTGTTGACGGGAGGTGTGGCGCTGGAAAACCCATTCCCTAACCCTGCACACCAGTGGCTGCCAGAGAAGTCGTGGTCTGAGATTGTTAGATGTTCCTATCTACCAGCCTTCCAGGGATTCATGGATCATTTCCAGAAGAATGTTAGTTCAGATCTTGATTTCTATTCCTAATTCTCTTATCTTCTCTGTTTTCATAATTACAATCATAAAACATTATGATTTGTATGCTGTGTTGTAATGGTTCCTTAGTATTGAGGTAAAGTAGGACCAGAATCTATATTTTTATGATTACCGTATTCGACGTAATAAGCGCCCTGCCCTAATAAGCGCCCACGGCGATATTTGCTAATATATTGGCTAGTGAACAATCTCAATTAGCACCTCTTCCAATTGATTAATGTACACAAGACTTATTTATTTGTGTATAATACGCACTCGTATGTTATATGCACCCTTAATTATGGGCAATTAAATCCTGGAAGAATCTGTCGTATATAAACATTTCAGGCTGTCAGCATAAACCATGAAATTTATGATCTTTCAACTCAAAATAATATTCTAATAAGAGCCCCCTATTTCTAATTTTGAGGGTGCCCTGAGCGCTTATTACGTCGAATATGGTAATTAGAAAGTGATCATAGGACTTGGTGCCAGGTTGCAGGAAAGTAGTTTACAAGTTGCTATTTACTTGTGATGTGTTGCCCAGATCTCAGACTGGAAGTGTGTCTATGACTCCACCACGCCCCATACAGAGCGACTGCCAGAACCATGGGGAGATAACCTCTCCAAGTTACAAGAACTCATTGCTCTCCGCTGCCTGCGACCTGACAAAGTGAGTTCAAGTGCATTTTGTTTAACTTACAAAAGCTTTAACCTGAACCAACGCCTCCACTATCTTTTCTTCTCTCCTGTTACTCTCTATCGTCTATCATCTCCTTTCTTTGTCTTAATGAGTGGGGGGCACAGGTGGCCCAGTCGTCAAAGGCGCCGCGATTCTCTGTGCAGAGTTGCGTCCCTTGGGCATGCCAGAAACCTATGATTGTGGGTTCGTATCCTGGTTCGCCCCCATTATGTTTCTAGGTTTGTCAGCACCATACCCGTGCTCGTGGGTTTCACCGAAGTGGTAAACGTCTGAGACCTGCATCACTTCGGGCTTTCCTCCCACATTAAGCTGACACGCCGCGATATAACTGGAATACTGTTAAAAGCGGCGTTAAACCTAACTCACTCACTCACTCACTCTTAATGAGTGAGTGAGTTTTGTTTTATGCCACTATTAGCAATATTCCAGCAATATCTCGGCGGGGGACACAAGAATTGGGCTTCACATATTGTACCCATGTGGGGAATCAAACCCAGGTCTTCAGCGTGACGAGCGAACACTTTAACCACTTGGCTAATCCCTCTGCCCCTCTTTGTCTTACGCCCTCTCTTTTTCTCCTCTTTCAGCCTTCTTTTGTTTGCTCACTTTTTCTCTCCTCCCATTTCCCTCATCTCCTAATCTCTCACTCCTCTTTCTCTCAGCTTCTTCCTCTTCTAATGTCTCACTTTCTCTCTGAGCCTCTTCCTCTTCTAATGTCTCATTCTTTCTCTCAGCCTCTTCCTCTTTTAATGTCTCACTCTTTCAGCCTCTTCCTCTTCCAATGTCTCACTCTTCCTCTCAGCCTCTTCCTCTCCTAATGTCTCACTCTTCCTCTCAGCCTCTTCCTCTTCTAATGTCTCACTCTTCCTCACAGCCTCTTACTCTTCTGTCTCACTCTTTCTCTCAGCCTCTTCCTCTTCTAATGGCTCACTCTTCCTCTCAGCCTCTTCCTCTCCTAATGTCTCATTTTACTCTCAGCCTCTTCCTCTTCTAATGTCTCACTCTTCCTCCCAGCCTCTTCCTCTCCTAATGTCTCACTCTTCCTCTCAGCCTCTTCCTCTCCTAATGTCTCATCTTACTCTCAGCCTCTTCCTCTTCTGTCTCACTCTTTCTCTCAGCCTCTTCCTCTTCTAATGTCTCACTCTTCCTCTCAGTCTCTTCCTCTCCTAATGTCTCACTCTTCCTCTCAGCCTCTTCCTCTCCTAATGTCTCATCTTACTCTCAGCCTCTTCCTCTTCTGTCTCACTCTTTCTCTCAGCCTCTTCCTCTTCTAATGTCTCACTCTTCCTCTCCTAATGTCTCACTCTTCCTCTCAGTCTCTTCCTCTCCTAATGTCTCACTCTTACTCTCAGCCTCTTCCTCTCCTAATGTCTCATCTTACTCTCAGCCTCTTCCTCTTCTAATGTCTCACTCTTTCTCTCAGCATCTACCTCTTCTAATCTTTCTCTCAGTCCACTTCCTCTTCTTATCTGTCACTCGTCTTCACTCTTCTGATCCTTCTCCACCTCCTCCACCTTATTATGGCTGTTTGACTCCAGATCGTGCCAGCTGTCCAGACGTACATTCAGGAGAGGATGGGGCAGTTGTACATAGAGCCCCCGACCTTTGACCTGTCTCTGTGCTATGCAGACTCCAACTACTTCTCTCCGCTGATCTTCGTCCTCTCCCCAGGGGCAGATCCCATGGCTGGACTGTACCGCTTCGCCGAGGAAAAGGGTATGCAATCTCCACAATACCCCCTCAAACATATATGTGTGGTGTGCCGTGACACTGCTCTAGCATAGTCAATAGTATTGGGGACTTTCAATAAAGCATAAATGAATAATATTAATAGTAGCTTTATGTTCATAACAATAGTACTATATGTAAAAGAGTTAGCCAAAGATTGTTTGTTTACCAATACATGTACTCTGTAGGACTGCATTGTAATACTTAAGTAATATGTATGAGGTGAGATAAGCAGATAAATACTAGAGTGTGCAGTGAGACCTATGAAGCCTCTTCCATGACTAGTGTGGACTCTGTAGAGGGTCCACCCTTGAAGATCCGGGCTAGAATAGGTCTTCAGCAACCCATGCTTGTCATAACAGGTGACTATGCTTGTCTTAAGAGGTGTTTAACGGGATTGGGTGGTCAGGCTCACTGACTTGGTTGATGCATGTCATCGTATACCAATTGGGTAGATCGATGCTCATGATGTCAATCATTGGATCGTCTGGTCCAGACTCAGTTATTTACAGACCGCCATCGAGTAGCTGAAAGTTTGCTGAGAGTGGCCTTAAACAACAAACAAACAAACAAACAAAACTGAGCATCCCACCTTTGATATCAGTCTGGACCAGACAATCCAGTGATTGCATCAGCCAAGTCAGCGAGCCTGACCGCCCGATCCCGTAAGTTGCCTCTAACGACAAGCACAGTCTCCTTTTACGGCAGGCATGGGTTGCTGAAGACCTATTCTACCCCGGATCTTCACGGGTCCCTTTGATTTTGAGCCCAGCCAACAAATAGTCCCATATCCATATCCATATCCATATCCACCACAGCTTCCTCATAGTATAGAGTGTGTATCAGATACTGTTGCTATGTAGTCAAGTGTTTGGATTGCAGTGGTTGCTCTAGAGCCAGGTCATTAGTGTGTACTAGCTGTGTGGACTTCACCCTCATTGCTTATAATTACACTCCCATACATTGCAGAAGTTTAAAGGGCAAGTTCACACGGAAATGAACCAATTTTTCTTGTACTTTTTCCACATTAAAAGTGTTAACATAGAAGTGTCATAGACAAAAATATAAAAACATCATATTTAATTAACATATTTTTTGCATTAAAACGATTTATATTTTTCACATTTACCAAGTGTTCTATTTCCATAACAAAAACACCATGGCTTATGCCCCTTGCAATATGACGTCATTGGTGCCAATTGATAAACATTATGACGTCATCATGCTTTGTTAGAGCCGCTTCACGTGGTGTAGGTACAGTTTTGTGATTCTAGCGTCTCAGATGCCAGCCAGAATTGTGTTATGCTGAGTCACTACTGCGCCGGAGTGTGTCGTAGGCCATGTTGTTTTACCGAAAACTTGTACTTGATATCTTTTGCGTTCAGAATAGACAGGGACCCAGTTGAATTGGCACCAATTACGTCATAATCTAAGGGGGATAACTCAGGCCTGTTTAGCTCGAAAAACGAAGGCCTCATAACGGCATATCATTTTCACACTATTGTGAGCTTCCTACTTTCACTGTGAAAAAAATGAGTTTACATTTTCAAACACAGATATTAACTAATTCTAAAATTGCGTTTTATTTAGAAAAAGAAAGAAAGTGATTTTTGCGTGTACACTTCCCCTTTAAAGGGAATCACAGATGTTGGTAAATAACTTTCATTATCAAAAGCTTGTACCGACTAGTACTTGGAGGCAGACAAACTGGATTTGTTTCGTAATTAGAATATGTCTTTGTCTAGAAATGGTAATCATTTAACTAGTATTCATCTTGGAAATAAGAGGTTTCAGTTTGTTTGCCAGACAGGTCATCAACTTCTCCATCCTCTAACTAGACATTGGAATAAATTAATACTGACAAGTTTTGTGAATGTGAAACATGCACGCTTGTTAGTGTTCCAAGATATCCGTTGTCACATATATTTAATTCATTTTACTCAATAACGTGTCTCACTAAAACATCCATCGGGTGAGTGAGTGAGTATGGTTTTACGCCGCTTTTAGCAGGACCCAGTTCTACTAGGCGATCGTAGCGCCACGACACTTGTACGTCTAGGTATATGGGAGTTATTGATAACCTTAGCGCCACGATAACTTTCTGGAAAGAAACCCTGAATTCTTAAGGTGGGCTGTTGCATGGTATTAAATTAATATGTGCAGCTTTTGACGTGTTTGAAGTATTGTTTTGTTAAATTCAATTGGATTATGCTGTGGATCGCGTAGATGTCGGCCTATACTCACACACGAAAATTCTGAAAAAAGGTTTGAAACAGCAAGTTATAATAAAATATTAAACTCACCCCCGTGTAGTATCAATTTAATGCTCGTGAAGGTTCTGGCTTTCGCTCGTCAGAACGAGAATTAACTCGTTTCATTAAATTGGTATTACACGAGAGCTCGTTTAGTATTCATATATATCTCACCCAAGCCATATCTCCTGTGGAAGCCACTTTGGGATGATGAAATTAAAATAAGCAAAAATTAAATTTCACCTACTGGGATCAAACTTAATTATTTGTTTGGAAATGATGAGTTCATTAGTGATTAAATTAAACAGTTAAACTGACAATCTCCATCATGAAAGTTCCAACCAGTAATCTGTAGGCCTGTCTGTGTGGAAGATGTGACTCCCTTCTAAATTTGTAGAGCTTAATTATGTTATTGGTTTTGTGCACTAATAAGATAACTGTTTTAAATTATGTACTTCATTAACCTATGAGGGATGATTGCATACAGTTTGTGACCTCCATAAATGAAAAGCAATAAGAAGATCCTTCCAACTTTGAATTGGACGTTGCTATTAACAATGATCTGGTTTTGCTTTTGAACTAATTGGGTGTTTCAGTGTTTGTATTACAACTAATATTTGACATAATTCTTTGCCTGCATCTATCAGGAATTGTTCCATCAACAAATAGTCGGGGGCCAAGTGGCCCAGTACAGGCAAAGGCGGATGAATATAGGCGCAAAATGTCGGTGATTGGGAGAATTTCAGCAGAAGATTCATACGCCAGTATGTTAAGGAGAACTATTTCCAGGAACACTACATATTGTACACATACTATTTCCCTAAATATCCTTCCTTGTCATGTACTTGTCTGTGTCTAATATGCGGTATAAGGATTCAAGTTCTTTTAATATTATTTCTCTTTTATCTTTTCCTGTTGTTTTGTTTGTGTTTTTCTGTATTTGACTATATATTCAGTAGGGTTTTATCTTTTTCTTTTGGAAAGGTGAGACTGAAAATTTTGGATATTAAAGTAATGGAAAATATTCTGCAGCTTCAAATATGATAAAAACTTGTTTTAAGGAAAAAATAATACATTTAGGTCCTATGATCACAACACAAGTGTTTGTGTCTTTCAGTCAGAACATGTTACATATGTTTACTTTAGAAATTATTTCCTATGTTATTTTAAACATTTAGCTGAAATGAAAGTAATTTTTTCTATTTTTTTTGCAAGAAATCTTCATCACTGCTAACTTTAATATCTCATTGTCTATATAACAGCATGTTTGCATGATGGTGCTTCCCACACAACTGGTCCTTGTGTTCATTTTATCATTTAATTAGTTTTGGGGTGGATATTGTCACAAATGTATTCATGTTTTTAACAAGTTATGGACAATTGTATCTGTGATTTCTTTGATATCAGGATATTTAGAATCACAATTTATAATTCAGAGGCCTCAAATGTTGATAATTTTTCATGATATGCATGAAACACATAGTTTCAGATACGAATAAATTAATATAACCCGATTATCTCCCTTGAATATGATCAAACCATACAGCGGTCTTATGGTTTCATAGTAAACTTATTTCAGCTTTAATGATTCCTTAGCACCATAGGTGCCACTATAGTGACCATTGCTGATGCTGTTAGAGGTATCAGCAGTGAGGTGAGGTGAAATGGGGTTTAACGTCGCGTCCAAGATTATTGCACTTATATAGCGACGTGCATGTACGTGTGTGTGTATGTGTGTGTGGCTGCTTGTATTAGTCCGGATTGATGCCAATTTATAGTGCTAGCTCACTGAGATACCATGTCGCAGTTTAACATGAATACCCCACTCAGACACAGTATACTGACTCCAAGCCGACCAGTCCTTGTTTTAGCCCCTTAATGCCAAGCACCAGACAGGGTAGCAACAAGTACCATCTTTTAACGTCTAATGGTATGACGCGGTCGGGGATCAAACCCCGGACCTTCCGCTCTCCAGGAAGAAAGAAATTGAACTCATTTTCTTTTGAAGATGTAGAAAATAAACATATTGTTAATATATCCTTAAATTCCAATTAAGGTTTTACTTGTAACAATAAGAATAAGATATATGGTCTCAGCTTATTGTTTCACTCTGTTATAAGTAAAGGTAGGCCACCTGTCTGTTTCAATATTTGAAAACTTGTTGCCTGAGAACGAATAATGTTCTCCCTGCATCTAACCTGCTTGTGTAGCCTCCTTGTCTGCCTGTTGTCTCTGCACTGTGTCGCACAGACTTTACATGGTTCATTCCACCACAATCTCATCAAAATCAGATCTTAGTTCTCGCTGCCACTAAACAAAAATCTGAGGACATCCCATTACGGGTCACGTCAGGACGACCTTTCGCGAACTTTGACCGACAACTGAAATGAAATCAGCCAAGTCAACATCAGCCAGTTAGAAAGGAGCTTTCTAGAGCTTTACGGCACTCGTTTCAACCTTGTGAATTCATTTCTGTCTACGCTTGAAAAATATATTGACACAGTTCTCGATTAATATTTTAAAAACTGAATTAATGAACATTCTGGAATGTCTAATATATGGTTGAGAGTGTATGGCAGTGCTTCTTACGTACTGTGTCCTCCATTCAAATGTTTATCCCCGGAACCGAGAGATAGACGATAATTTTGACGGAATCAGTCGTATAGGCTGTTGTTTAGCGGCAGCGAGAACATAGATCTGATTTTAATGAGATTGATACCACCACACATTGTCGGCACTTTCCTTTTCAGCAAGTTCTCGAAGACTTATTAACCTAAACAAAATAATAGTCTTGGTTCTCAGGCACTGCCTGCATCATCATAAAGTCTGCCGCATGTTTCATTTTTATTTCCATTTAAAAAAAAAGAATCCTAAAATATTCCGCATCTCAAACACATAACCCCTAATGTAAAATGCTTCAATACTTAAAAACAATGTGATTAAAGTAATGAAAACAAAACTGAATGAAATCTTGGACAAAAGTAATATTATGGATTACAAACATATGCCCAGATAGACAATGAACATTTTTATAGCCAGAACAGTGTAATGACAGGACCAGCTTGCATTATATAATAACTTCAGTATGGATTTGTTGACATGCTTTTTCAGGTGTTATGTGCTCACGATAACGTATTCGCGTTATATTTTCCGCACTAAATTTTCAAAAGCCTTTGCCTGAGAACCAATTATTTTATTTTTATTACTTTTCATGTTGATAAAAAATCTGTAAATTTGTAAAAATTGCATATTGTTGACTATGTTGCCATGTGTGCTGTGTTTGGGAAGCAGCGAGCCTTTCCAGATTTACAGTTTCAAATATTGTAGGTACAAATATTGCCTTAGCTAAGGTTTTTCCGATTTCTTTCCACTTTTCATTTTTTTCAGATTCAGTAGATCTGTAAACCAATGTACAAATAAGCACTATCTTATGGATCTTTATATTTTTTCAGTTTTAGTTTCCTGTATGTTAATTGCTTGTACTGTATTCGACGTAATAAGCGCCCAGGGCGCTCTCAAAATTGGGGGCTCTGATTAGCATAAAATTTTGGTGAAATATCCCTATCAATAGTTGTGGTGTATAACTTTTTATCTTCATGTTACATGATATTGATGTTATCGGTAGCTGCATCATAACACGTATGAGGTTTCAACGAAGCGTACCCTGTTTTTCATTTGATGTTTCTGAATCCTTGTTTTGATTGATCGCTACACTATCCTACCATGATTACAGTGATTGATCTCATTATCACATCCTAATGATCGAACTCTGAAGCAGCACAACAGACCACTGAACAGTTATGTTATCTATAAGACCGATAGTTTTTTATAAGTGTTATGTATGCTAACAAACAGTCATATGTGTATTAAGATATTTGAAGTATTATCATAGAATCATAAAACTTAGTTGTCTGATCTTTGGATGTGTTTTGTTTACAGCATCAGGCAACAAAGGGCTTGCCACGATATCCCTGGGCCAAGGTCAAGGCCCTATTGCTGAGAGGATGATTAGTGAGGTACTGACGCTGCACTATTTATCGTATCGCCATGTCAGAATGATCAGATCTGATTGGTTCATGTGGTCTTGATAAAATATGATGTATCCCGCCTTTGGGGAAATGGATTTCTGAGAGGCAGAATAAATCTCTTACACCCCGCCATGAACAAGACAGGCTGCACATGGATTTCTGAGAGGCAGAATAAATTCCTTATACCCCGCCATGAACAAGACAGGCTGCTCATGGATTTCTGAGAGGCAGAATAAATTCCTTATACCCCGCCATGAACAAGACAGGCTGCTCATGGATTTCTGAGAGGCAGAATAAATCCCTTATACCCCGCCATGAACAAGACAGGCTGCTCATGGATTTCTGAGAGGCAGAATAAATTCCTTATACCCCGCCATGAACAAGACAGGCTGCTCATGGATTTCTGAGAGGCAGAATAAATTCCTTATACCCCGCCATGAACAAGACAGGCTGCTCATGGATTTCTGAGAGGCAGAATAAATCCCTTATACCCCGTGTCGAAGCAAGAACCTGTTTGCTTTTTCCGAGTCCATGAAAGTCACATGACATTGTACAAGTTAACCTCAGCTCAATTGAACAGCTATTTTCTATCAATTTTGAATTAGTTTTACATTCTTTTACAATGTCATATTAAAACATGTCGGTAAAAAATAATTGTTGTAGCAGTATCACTCGAGGTACATGTAGTTTTATGCGTCCCTCCGGTTTGCGATATAAAACCTAACACGGGATGCATAAAACCACATGTACCCGTCGTGTACTGCTGTAACTTATAGTGTGTTTGAGGACAGACTACTGAACTTGTAATGCTTGTATTCACAGCAGACATGCATGTGTTCCAGTTAATGCTTGTATTCACTGCAGACATACATGTGTCCCAATTAATGCTTGTATTCACTGCAGACATAGGTGTGTCCCAATTAATGCTTGGATTCACTGCAGACATGCATGTGTTCCAGTTAATGCTTGGATTCACTGCAGACATACATGTGTTCCAGTTAATGCTTGTATTCACTGCAGACATACATGTGTCCCAATTAATGCTTGTATTCACTTCAGACATACATGTGTCCCAATTAATGCTTGGATTCACTGCAGACATACATGTGTCCCAATTAATGCTTGGATTCAATGCAGACATGCATGTGTTCCAGTTAATGCTTGTATTCACTGCAGACATGCATGTGTTCCAGTTAATGCTTGTATTCACTGCAGATATGCATGTGTCCCAATTAATGCTTGTATTCACTGCAGACATACATGTGTCCCAATTAATGCTTGGATTCACTGCAGACATACATGTGTCCCAATTAATGCTTGTATTCACTGCAGGCATACATGTGTCCCAATTAATGCTTGGATTCACTGCAGACATACATGTGTCCCAATTAATGCTTGGATTCACTGCAGACATACATGTGTCCCAATTAATGCTTGGATTCACTGCAGACACACATGTGTCCCAATTAATGCTTGTATTCACTGCAGACATACATGTGTCCCAATTAATGCTTGGATTCACTGCAGACACACATGTGTCCCAATTAATGCTTGTATTCACTGCAGACATACATGTGTCCCAATTAATGCTTGGATTCACTGCAGGCATACATGTGTCCCAATTAATGCTTGGATTCACTGCAGACATACATGTGTCCCAATTAATGCTTGGATTCACTGCAGACATACATGTGTCCCAATTATACTTGGATTCACTGCAGGCATACATGTGTCCCAATTAATGCTTGGATTCACTGCAGACATACATGTGTCCCAATTAATGTTTGGATTCACTGCAGACATACATGTGTCCCAATTATACTTGGATTCACTGCAGGCATACATGTGTCCCAATTAATGCTTGGATTCACTGCAGACATTACAAGTCATCCCTATTTGTTTGCAGTTTAAAATTTATTGGTATTTTTAAGAAAAGAAACAAATAAAATGCAAAAATGAAAGGCTTTCTTGTGTGAGACTTATGACAGAATCACTTATAATGGAAATGCTTACCCTGTATACATACTTAAGAAAATAAATAAACACAAGCTTAAACTGATTTTTTGTATCCTGCAACTAAATTTAACCAGTATTTAATTATGCCCCTGTTGCCATGGTTACAGGCAGTGGAAGCGGGGACTTGGGTCGTGCTCCAGAACTGTCACCTGGCGGCCTCCTGGCTCGGGGAGCTGGAGAGGATCTGCGAGACTGTGAGTATATCAGGCAGTGGTTGTGAGTATATCAGGCAGTGGTTGTGAGTATATCAGGCAGTGGTTGTGAGTATATCTGGCAGTGGTTGTGAGTATATCTGGCAGTGGTTGTGAGTATATCTGGCAGTGGTTGTGAGTATATCAGGCAGTGGTTGTGAGTATATCAGGCAGTGGTTGTGAGTATATCAGGCAGTGGTTGTGAGTATATCAGGCAGTGGTTGTGAGTATATCAGGCACTGGTTGTGAGTATATCAGGCAGTGGTTGTGATTATATCAGGCAGTGGTTGTGAGTATATCAGGCAGTGGTTGTGAGTATATCAGGCAGTGGTTGTGAGTATATCAGGCAGTGGTTGTGAGTATATCTGGCAGTGGTTGTGAGTATATCAGGCAGTGGTTGTGAGTATATCAGGAAGTGGTTGTGAGTATATCAGACAGTGGTTGTGAGTATATCAGGCAGTGGTTGTGAGTATATCAGGCAGTGGTTGTGAGTATATCAGGCAGTGGTTGTGAGTATATCAGGCAGTGGTTGTGAGTATATCAGGCAGTGGTTGTGAGTATATCTGGCAGTGGTTGTGAGTATATCAGGCAGTGGTTGTGAGTATATCAGGCAGTGGTTGTGAGTATATCAGGCAGTGGTTGTGAGTATATCTGGCAGTGGTTGTGAGTATATCAGGCAGTGGTTGTGAGTATATCAGGCAGTGGTTGTGAGTATATCAGGCAGTGAGATTGTAAGGTAAGGTGAAATAGGGTTAAACGTAGGGTCCAAGATTATTGCATTTATGGCGATGTGTGTGGCTGCTAGTACTAGTCCGGGCTAATGCCAAGTTTATAGTGCTAGCCCATTGAGATACCCTGCTGCAGTATAACATGAATACCCCAATCAGACACAGTATACTGACTCTGAGCCAACCAGTCCTGATTTAGCTCCTTAATGCAGAGCGCCAGACAGGGTAACAAGAAGTACCATCTTTTAACGTCTTTTGGTGTGACGCGGCCGGATATCGAACCCCCGACCTTCCGCTCTCTGGGTGGACGCTCTACTAATAGAGCACGCAGACGACCAGTCCTTGTTTTAGCCCCTTAATGCTGAGCATCAGACAGGGTAACAACACGTACCAACTTTCAGCTACTGACGTTTTGTAGGTAATCACTGACCCCAGTAGAACCAAGCCGACCTTCCGACTCTGGCTGACCAGCTACCCATCTCCGGTGTTCCCAGTGTCTGTGCTGCAGAACGGGGTCAAGATGACCAACGAGCCACCCAAAGGAATGCGAGCTAACCTGCTGAGATCATACCTCAATGACCCCATCTCGGACCCTGGCTTCTTCAAGAGCTGCAACAAGCCAAAGGTAGGACAGTTGCAGAAGGTGACAAAACTGCCAAATGAACTGTGGAATTGGAAGATTCTTCTCTTTCTATTGATTGTGTTTCAAGGTTATTTCTCATTTGAAATGCAGAGGTTAACCCAGAAATCCTTACATACAGGACTACATCATGAAATCAGTATGTGACCACTAGGGCTGGGACGAGTAACTCGGGGACTCGGGTCGGGTGGGTACTGAGTAGGACCCGGGTACCCACAGGACTACCCAGACCCGTGGTTAGTCATGTGATATTTTGTTTAATGACAAAAAATATCTAGAACTCTATGCTTAAACTAAAAGTCACAAATGTTCGCATTTCTTTCTGACTATGCACCCATTCCTTCTGATTTTTCACATAGTTGATAAAAGATATAACTTAATTCAACTTCAGTGTATGAATGACCAGATTGTTTAATACGTGTATCTAAATACGTTTTTGCCAGGGCTATGCTAAAAATGTTCCCAATCAGACATTTTGAGACATCTCGTGAGACCTACAGTGGGTACCCAGGTAGGGTCGGGTAAAGGTGGTTGGGTACCCGAGTAGTAAATTTGGACTCGTCCCAGCCCTAGTGACCACACAAGATCAATGAATAGTCAATAAAATATATTGAAACACGCAGTTTCATGTTCACTTTTAAGAAAAGACAATACTATAAGTGGCATCGGCAGTACGTAACAGGCTCTACTATTAATGTAAGTGTACTCACAAATTTTCAGAATTTTGTTCTGTCAAATGTTTTGAAACAGGCTTGTCTCTGTTCGGAATAGTGTTGGAAGTTGGCAGGAAGTTGGTGTTTTCAAATATCTATCCAATCCACTGGTAGATAAGATGCAAGTAAGGCTGAAAAAGGCCTCACATCACCCTCTTGTTGCTCTGTATCAGTCCAGTCCGCTTTCTAGAAACTGTCCTATCTCGAAACTTCACAAATGTTCAAGCCTGCCATATTCATGTGTACCAAGGGGGTAACTCTAAATTCCATTTGCCGCTGCTAACAGTGCTCAACATTTTACTTGCACTTCAGACATTTGCTGCCACTGGCAGTTACTGCAATATATTTACAGTGAGTGAGTGAGTTTGGTTTTAACGCCGCTTTTAACAGTATTCCAGTTATAGTGTGGCGTGTCAGCTTAATGTGAGAGGAAAGCCCGAAGTGATGCAGGTCTCAGACGTTTACCACGAGCACGGGTATGGTGCTGACAAACCTAGAAACATATCCGAGGCGAACCGGGATTCGAACCCACAATCATAGGTTTCTGGCGTCCCCAAGGGACACAACTCTGCACAGCAAATCGCGGCACCTTAGACGACTGGGCCACCTGTGCCCCCTGCAATATATTTACAACAATCCCTACTGCCACATAACAAATGTTATCCATGTTACCAGTTCAAAACATATACTGTTGGCTTTTTAATAGCTAGCTAGGCTTTGAGATGTAATCTCTAAATGTATTTTGTGCATATCATTTACAGTATCTTTTGCTGGGGAGATATGACATCATATCATTTACAGTATCTTTTGCTGGGGAGATATGACATCATATCATTTACAGTATCTTTTGCTGGGTAGATAAGACATCATATCATTTATAGTATCTTTTGCTGGGGAGATATGACATCATACCATTTCCATTGACTGTGGGACGATGTGGCATGATATCTTTTACAGTGACTATGGGTAGATAAGACATCATATCATTTACAGTATCTTTTGCTGGGGACATATAACATCATACCATTTCCATTGACTGTGGGACGATGTGGCATGATATCTTTTACAGTGACTGTGGGTAGATAAGACATCATATCATTTACTGTATCTTTTGCTGGGGACATATGACATCATACCATTTCCATTGACTGTGGGACGATGTGGCATGATATCTTTTACAGTGACTGTGGGTAGATAAGACATCATATCATTTACAGTATCTTTTGCTGGGGAGATATGACATCATACCATTTCCATTGACTGTGGGACGATGTGGCATGATATCTTTTACAGTGACTGTGGGTAGATAAGACATCATATCATTTACAGTGTCTCTAGGGAGATATGACATCCTATCATTCACTGCCCCTCTTGGAGGGGGATATTTACAAGTTCATCTGTAGCTCATCTCCTCCATGTAGGTATTTGAGAAGCTGCTGTTCGGTCTGTGTTTCTTCCACGCCCTGGTCCAGGAGAGAAGGAAGTTCGGACCTCTTGGCTGGAACATCCCGTATGAGTTTAACGAATCAGATCTCCGGATCTCCGTCAGACAGCTGGAGGTAGGTCACAGTGCAAAACATGGCCACTAAGTCACATTTCATGGAGAGAGATTGAGAAAGTTTCTAAGACACTATACAACAGTCATATTTCAAGTCACCTGCTGGGATATTCAAGGTTGGGCATCTTGTCCACATAATCAATACAAGATTTAACAAAATGTTGGCGGAGAACCTAGAACCTATTAAATAAAGTGAATAGTGAAATTACAGATGTAAGGAAGAGAAATTTGCTGTATAGATGTTGTATGTATGCTAATAACAAATTACAGTTATAACAAACTTAAATTATGAATACACAATGCCATTAAGAAAGTGGTCAAATGTAACGAGAATCTGTACTTTACTAAGAAAGTGTTATCCCAAATATAACATTTGTTAAACTTAAATTAGTTTTTTAGTAAATTAGTTTACTGTATATCACTTCTAAATGCCTTTCAAAGACTAAACTTACAGACTTGTTCTTCAAAATAAAATTTACATACTTAATTTAACAATTTAATTTGAATTGTTTGTTTTCAAACCATTTATCTCGCTATGCTAGGGTATTGAGGCATGGAGTTAGCACACAGGGTGAAATGTTAAGACATGCTATGGCTACTGCAAAACTTTCTTAAATGAACCCACAACAAATATGAGCAAGCTGTTTTTATTTGTTACAGATGTTTATCAGCGACTACAAGGAGCCCCCCCTCGAGGCCCTCACCTACCTGACGGGGGAGTGCAACTACGGCGGGCGGGTCACGGACGACCAGGACCGACGCCTCATCATCAGCATCCTGAAGATCTTCTACTGTAGCGAGGTCATTGACGACGACAACTACTGCTTCTCCTCCAGCGACCTGTACTACGCACCTCCCAAGGGCAGCTACGAGAGCTATGTGGAGTATATCCGGAGTCTTCCCCTCATACCTCACCCGGAGGTCAGTTGGGTTTCTTGCCCCGCGGGGACCTGGGTTAGAATAGGTCTCCAGTAACCTTTTCTTGTAGGTAATGACTCAATTGGACCAGGTGGTAATGTTTGGTGACTGGTTGATTGAGTGTTATTGTGTGGAGATGGTGTGGGACAGTTCTCACAAAGACAACCAATGTTTTTCTTGACTTGACTCAATACTTTACAAGCTGGAACCATGAGTGAGTGAGTGAGTGAGTGAGTATGGTTTTACGGTTTGACTGCGAGGCATATGTATCGTTGAGAAATAAGTACATACCAATTTGGGATTTTTCATCAAATATTTGTAAATTATTGACTTCTAATCTTCTAATGATGTGTCAATTCTTAATACATGTACCAAGTTGGTTAAAGAAGCTCTGGTATGTGAGTGAATGAGTATGGTTTTACGCCGCTTTTAGCCATATTCCAGCAATATCACGGCAGGGGACACCAGAAATGGGCTTCACACATTGAACCCATGTCGGGATTGGAACCCGGGCCTTCGGCGTAACGAACGAACGCTTTAACCACTAGGCTACCCTACCGCCCCCTAGAACCATGAAATAGCTGCAACATATTTTACTATAGCATAAAAACACACACACAAATCGACATCCGTGCAGATATTTGTCGATTGCAGGATTTGCAAAGCATGTATACCGCCAACTCGGCGTCATCAGATATTTTATAAATCTTTTCATGTGTTTAATCAAGGTGATTTGATGCACTTTGCGAAGTAAGATATGTTTTATTACAATTTAGATCTTGATTATCGATTGGATCGTCTTGACTGGGTGCCGCCATTTTGTTTGAAGCTGATGCAAGTGATATGAGGGGTGGAATCTGATTGGTCAGTGGGAAGGACATAGGAGGGACACAACTTGTAATAGCCACTGGCGGCACTAGGATCGAGTCCAGAAATTCCATCCTAGTTTGGCAAAGGTGGAAACTGGACTTTTAAAGTCAGTTAACTCTCTTGCCTCGTGAAGATGGTCAGTGTTAGAAATATATCAGATCATGAAACCAACTCTACCAATTACTCTCAGATGGAGTATGCCTGGTCATTAATTGAATAAGGTAGTGGTAAAATACCAGCTCTGCCAATCTCATTAAAATAAGACCTTAGTTCTCGCTATCGCTAAACAAAGATCTGAGGACAACCCATTACGGGTCACATCAGAACAACCTTTCATCCGACCAATCAAAGCGTCGCTTACCAGATCATGAAAGTGACAGTCGGAATGTGTTTTCTAATCATGCAACCTCGAAAACGTTAAAACAGGGTATTCCGAACAACAGTTACGGCCTGTACGACTGAATCTGTCAAACTTATCGTCTACCTCTTGCTTCCGTGGGAAAAACAATTTAATGGAGGAGGTGTTGCTTAGTACATGGGAAGCAATGCCATACAATCGCAACCATATATTAGACATTCCGGAATGTTTGTTTGTTCAGTTTTCAAAAATTTAATCGAGAACTGTGTCAACATATTTTTAAAGCCTAGTCTGAAATGGAAGTCGCCAGGTTGAAACGAGTGCCGTAAAGCTTGAGAAAGCTGCTTTCTAATTGGCTGATATCGACTTCATGTTAGTCAAAGTTCGTGACCCGTAATGGGATGTCCTCAGATCTTTGTGTAGTGGCAGCGAGAACTTAGATCTGATTTTAATGAGATTGCAGCTCTGTTGAAAAGTTAACAGTCTTGGACTGACAGATGTACTGCTTTTGTAGCAAATGACTGAGAATAAAAATGAAGAAATCTATATTTAAATTTCATAAACGCTGTATATATTAACTTCAAATGGTTAGTTATGATTTGTTTGAAAATAAAATGATTAGTTCAGAGATTTCAATTTGTCACTTGTTTATGATTGTTAAACTTGTTCTTATGCTCAGAGACTATCAAGTCACGTGGTATTCCGTCTTTGCATGCAGGTGTTTGGGCTCCATGAGAATGCAGACATCTCCAAAGATCAACATGAAACACATCAGATGTTTGAAGGGATACTCCTAACCCTCCCAAGACAGGTAGGCGGCCATCTTGATAGTAACATAATGCTTCCCTGGTGACTAACCACAGCTTCATTAACAAAGCTAAAAAAAAAAAAAATACTTTTAAAAAAACCAGCATTTTATCACTGTTTTAAGCAAACTAAATTGTATTGACGTCAAAGAAAGCTTACTTTTTCCCTGACAACAAAAATAATTGCCTTAACCAAATTCACAAAAGGCATTTCATGGTACCGTATTCGACGTAATAAGCGCCCCACACTAATAAGCGCCAAGGGCGACATTTGCTAATGTATTGGCTAGTGAACAATACCAATTAGCACCCCTTCTGATTGATCAATGTACACAACACTTATTTATTCGCGTATAATACGCACTCGTGTGTTATATGCACCCTTAATAATGGGCAATTAAATTCTGGAAAAATGTATCTCTTGTATATAAACATTTCAGGCTGTCAGCATAAACCATAAAATTTATCTTTCACCAAAATAATATTCTAATAAGAGCCCCCTATTTCTAATTTTGAGGGCGCCCTGGGCACTTATTACATTGAATAAGGTATATGTGTAATTATTTGTTTGAAGTGTTTTGTTCAAATGAGGGTAATTATTTATCACTATTAGGGCTCAATATTTTCATCAGTAAAATACAAGAGCAATAATGTGGTATTGTATAAATTTATGAACACACTTTTAAGCAAGATGGCGCCATGTGTCGTCGTCATAACAACTGTATTTTATCATTTGTCGGCTCATGTCAGGATGAGGTACAATGATGTTAGATAGAAACTCTTTTCATCTCACTGTTCAAAGCGGCGTTTAAACCCGACTCACTCACTTTTCATCTCAGTATCTAGCTAATAGTTTGTATTCAATTCTTGCCTCAACAGTACAGCAACTTCTGTGTGTCTAACTCTTCATCTTGTTTCCTGATCTTTTAACAGCTATTGATGTTTCATATTCTGCATTGTTGCATGTTTTCTGGTGTATTTACTAACCACTGTGAATTGTCCTGCACTTGCTGTAGAAACACTGAATTACAGAAGGGCACCAGTGTTGTCACAGAATCTTAAAAGACTTGAAAGGGAATTATCTTATAGGCCTACATCTATTCACAAAGAAGGTTTCACTTAATCTGCCTGTTTTGCTGGAACCTCTTCCTAATGCCAAGGTGACTCTTGGTCAAAATAGGGCCCATGATACTCAAAACAGTTTAGTCAGTTTAGTGTTTTTATTCTGGGTCAGAAAAGGTCACAACCTATGTCTCACCATTTGGATTCTGGGTCAGAATAGATCTCCAGTTCCTCATGAATGTCCCTCAATGGGATTCTGGGTCAGAATAGATCTCCAGTTCCTCATGAATGTCCCTCAAGGGATTCCGGGTCAGAATAGGTCCCCAGTTCCTCATGAATGTCCTTCAATGGGATTCCGGGTCAGAATAGATCCCCAGTTCCTCATGAATGTCCCTCAATTGGAATCTGGGTCAGAATAGGTCCCCAGTTCCTCATGAATGTCCTTCAATGGGATTCCGGGTCAGAATAGATCCCCAGTTCCTCATGAATGTCCCTCAATGGGATTCCGGGTCAGAATAGATCCCCAGTTCCTCATGAATGTCCCTCAATGGGATTCTGGGTCAGAATAGGTCCCCAGTTCCTCATGAATGTCCCTCAATGGGATTCTGGGTCAGAATAGATCCCCAGTTCCTCATGAATGTCCCTCAATGGGATTCTGGGTCAGAATCGATCCCCAGTTCCTCATGAATGTCTGTCAATGGGATTCTGTGTCAGAATAGGTCCCCAGTTCCTCATGAATGTCTGTCAATGGGATTCCGTGTCAGAATAGATCCCCAGTTCCTCATGAATGTCCCTCAATGGGATTCTGGGTCAGAATAGATCCCCAGTTCCTCATGAATGTCCTTCAATGGGATTCTGGGTCAGAAAAAGGCTTGACTTCATCATGAATGCCCCCACTACCACCCACCCATTTACGAATTCTCTTTCTTCAAGTATGTCTCTTCCCACTCCATCCCCCCTAAACTCCTACTGAGATTCTGGATCAAAATTGATTTTCAATTCCTCATGTGTGTTCCCCAGATGGGGGTTTCAGAGACAATGTGCCGGTGTGTGTCCAGTAATGACAAAGAAAGAAAAATTCTTCCACAAATTATGTTGCATAAGTTGAATAGGATCATCAAAAAGATCAAGTCAATGAGGCTAAATGTAAAATGTATCCATGTTCTAAGTTTTAAATGCACAAGTCACCCTGCCAGATGAAATCATTCTGTAACAGATGGTGAAAGGGATTCAGGGGTCACTGCAAAGTTCACTAAATGTTCACGTGTACTGATTTTATGATCCTCATTTTGCCAGACATCAGGGGGAGGTAAGTCATCACAGGAGATCATTGAGGACCTAGCAAGTGACATCCTGTCTAAGATACCCCCTGACTTCAACCTGGAGGACGTGCAGGTGTGTATACAAGCTGTAGTGTTCAGGTTAGAGTACCTGTATGAAAGTGTGTGTTAGGCAGTGTCTAAAACTCAGCAGAGTAAACTGACCGCCTCAAGGTCCAGAACATTTGAAAAACTGTCGGTCCAGTGGAAAAACTGGAGGCCCAAAGATTTTTGCTGAAGCAGGGAGACACTCTTGCAATATAAATTACAAAACAGAACCAGTCATGCTGAAGCTTTTACTGTTATGACTCCAAGTTCCCAGAGACTCTGGGGTGATAGATGAGCCTTCATTTATCAAGGAAATCATCTGCATGTAAAACATCTTTGCTACTACAAGTTAAACATCATTTGAAAAGTCTAATCCTACTGTTTATGAATATGACAGTTATGTTTATCACATTAATTAAATAATACTTAAGGGCCTGCTGAAATTTAAAACAATCAGCCTGAAAACAAATCTGTCGGCCTCTGTACAAGTCATGGTAGTCATGTTAGCGAAGTGTTGTGTGAAATAGAATGTAAATTGGATGAGATTTGTTGGTTGGTTGGTTTGTTGTTTAACGCCGCACTCAGCAATATTCCAGCTATATGACGGCGGTCTGTAAATAATCGAGTCTGGACCAGACAATCCAGTAATTGACGCAATTGGAATCGATGACATGCATCAACCAAGTCAGCGAGCCTGACCATCCGATCCTGTTAGTCACCTCTTATGACAAGCATTGTCGCCTTTTAAGGCAAGCATGGGTTGATGAAGACCTATTCTACCCCGGATCTTCAAGGGTCAAATTGAAGCTTATAGATGATTTGAATGAAAGGTATAGAATTTGGTCTCCTGTTATCATATTCAGTCTTTAAATAATGAGGCTGCAACCCTAAGTAATGTAACCCTCAATTAAACACATTTTACGGTCAGTAAACTTGTACGACAGTGACCAAATTTCTCACATCTTTTCCCAGAACAAGTACCCTGTGCGATACGAGGAGTCTATGAACACAGTGCTGGTGCAGGAGCTGATCCGCTTCAACCGCCTCATCAAGGTGGTGCGACAGAGCCTGCAGGACATCCGCAAGGCCATCAAGGGGATGGTGGTGATGTCGGCCGAGCTGGAGGATGTGTTTGATAGCATGATGGTGGGGAAGGTGCCTGGCATGTGGGCAGCCAAGTCCTACCCCTCTCTGAAGCCCCTAGGCAGCTATATCACAGATCTTCTGGCCAGGCTACAGTTCTTTAAGGTAAATCATGGTGGGCTGTCAGTGGGCTTCAACTCAGATTCTGGCATCAGTAGGGCGGTCGGGTAGCCTAGTGGTTAAAGCATTCACTCGTCACGCCAAAGACCCGGGTTCGATTTCCGACATGTGTACAAGGTGTGAAGCCCATATTTCTGGTGACCGCCGCTATGATATTACTGGAATATTGCTAAAAGTGGCGTAAAACAATACTCACTCACTCACCCTGGCATCAGTATGTCAACAAGTCTTCATGTCAGTCAGCTCTCTGAGAATATTCAGCACTCAGTTCTACCTGGCAGGATTTTCAGGGGACATGGGTAACCCATGGTGTACAGCACACAGGTAGGGGGTACCAGTAACTTAATGGAGGTAGGGGGTACCAGTAACTTAATGGAGGTTGGGGGTACCAGTAACTTAATGGAGGTAGGGGGTACCAGTAACTTAATGGAAGTTGTGGGTACCAGTAACTTAATGGAGGTAGGGGGCACCAGTTACTTAATGGAGGTTGGGGGTACCAGTAAGTTAATGGAGGTAGGGGGTACTGGTAACTTAATGGAAGTAGGGGGTACCGGTAACTTAATGGAAGTTGTGGGTACCAGTAACTTAATGGAAGTTGTGGGTACCAGTAACTTAATGGAGGTAGGGGGTACCAGTTACTTAATGGAGGTTGGGGGTACCAGTAAGTTAATGGAGGTAGGGGGTACTGGTAACTTAATGGAAGTAGGGGGTACCGGTAACTTAATGGAAGTTGTGGGTACCAGTAACTTAATGGAAGTTGTGGGTACCAGTAACTTAATGGAGGTAGGGGGTACCAGTTACTTAATGGAGGTAGGGGGTACCAGTAACTTAATGGAGGTAGGGGGTACCAGTAACTTAATGGAGGTTGGGGGTACCAGTAACTTAATGGAGGTTTGGGGTACCAGTAACTTAATGGAGGTAGGGGGTACCAGTAACTTAATGGAGGTAGGGGGTAACAGTAACTTAATGGAGGTAGGGGGTACCAGTAACTTAATGGAGGTAGGGGGTACCAGTAACTTAATGGAGGTAGGGGGTACCAGTAACTTAATGGAGGTAGGGGGTACCAGTAACTTAATGGAGGTAGGGGGTACCAGTAACTTAATGGAGGTTAAAGGTACCAGTAACTTAATGGAAGTTGTGGGTACCAGTAACTTAATGGAGGTAGGGGGCACCAGTTACTTAATGGAGGTAGGGGGTACCAGTAAGTTAATGGAGGTAGGGGGTACTGGTAACTTAATGGAAGTAGGGGGTACCAGTAACTTAATGGAAGTTGTGGGTACCAGTAACTTAATGGAGGTAGGGGGTACCAGTAACTTAATGGAGGTAGGGGGTACCAGTAACTTAATGGAGGTAGGGGGTACCAGTAACTTAATGGAAGTTGTGGGTACCAGTAACTTAATGGAAGTTGGGGGTACCAGTAACTTAATGGAGGTAGGGGGTACCAGTAACTTAACGGAGGTTGGGGGTATCAGTAACTTAATGGAGGTAGGGGGTACCAGTAACTTAATGGAGGTTGGGGGTACCAGTAACTTAATGGAGGTTTGGGGTACCAGTAACTTAATGGAGGTTGGGGGTACCAGTAACTTAATGGAGGTAGGGGGTACCAGTAACTTAATGGAGGTTGGGGGTACCAGTAACTTAATGGAGGTTTGGGGTACCAGTAACTTAATGGAGGTTGGGGGTACCAGTAAGTTAATGGAGGTTGGGGGTACCAGTAACTTAATGGAGGTTGGGGGTACCAGTAACTTAATGGAGGTTGGGGGTACCAGTAAGTTAATGGAGGTTGGGGGTACCAGTAACTTAATGGAGGTTGGGGGTACCAGTAACTTAATGGAGGTAGGGGGTACCAGTAACTTAATGGAGGTTGGGGGTACCAGTAACTTAATTGAGGTTGGGTGTACCAGTAACTTAATGGAGGTTGGGGGTACCAGTAACTTAATGGAAGTTTGGGGTACCAGTAACTTAATGGAGGTTGGGGGTACCAGTAACTTAATTGAGGTAGGGGGTACCAGTAACTTAATGGAGGTTGGGGGTACCAGTAACTTAATGGAAGTTGTGGGTACCAGTAACTTAATGGAGGTTTGGGGTACTAGTAACCTAATGGAGGTTTGGGGTACCAGTAACTTAATGGAGGTAGGGGGTACCAGTCACCTGTCATGAAACTAAATATGCACAATTACATTGATAACATGCAGGGGTTAATAAAACACTTGTGTTTTGCACTCAAGTACACTTAAAGTATAATTAGTTGATGATAGTTCAATGTCTAGTACAACCCATTTTAATGCTGCCATTACCAAATGAAGAACATTTTGACTTATTGCTGATGTTGTCAACCACTCCTTTGTTGCCAATGTGTCGCCAATAATCCAGTATGTCTACAAACTTGCTTTTAGATTGAGGGATATCTGTGAAATCTGTGTCTCATGGCAGCTAATATCTGTAACCCCATCTTGTATTGAGGTACAGTCATACCCTGCGATAACACAGGTCTCGGTTCCAATTATGGAATGTCTCTATTCCAATTATGGAATGTAGGTCGGGTGATAGTTCAACTAACGAGGACACGAATACATGCATGTGTATGCACACGTGAGGATGTATGCGCATAAATGTTACGACAGAAAAATTGATGTGTGTTTGTGAGAAAAATAAAAATGTATGATGTTTTTTTTCTTTTTTTCTTCGAGTATGATCAATCTTTTGTACAAGTTTAGGTTAACTACTTTGACTGCTGCTACTGCTGGGACCCTTAGAATGCAAATATGGTAACATATACATGTATAAAATGTATAAAATAATTTTTAACTGCTTGTTACTTAGATCAAGGCTAATTTACAAACACCTCGATGACTGGACGTTCAGCCATTTTCTGAATGAAGCCATTATGCATGACTTTCTCGACAATTAAGCCAGTTAAACACTATTTCAGACTGTATAACTGTATGTGTTCCAGGACTGGATATTTAGTGGCATCCCGACCGTGTTCTGGATATCAGGGTTCTATTTCACGCAATCTTTCCTGACTGGGGTGCTGCAGAACTACGCCCGACGCTACAAGATACCCATCGACCATCTTGGATTTGAATTTGAAGTCACCAGTCATGAGAATCTCATCCAAGCCAAACCCGTAAGACAGTTTGTGATAAAGGGAATGTAGAACTTGATTCAGTATTTCATCAGGGACAGTGGGTAGTCTAGTGGTTGAAGCATCACACCAAGTCATGGGTTCTATTCCCAACATGGTACAATGTGGGAGTACTGTGGTATTTGCATGGGAACTATGTGTTAGAAGATGATGGACAGTATAATGTATAGTTAAATGAAACAATGGGTTGTATTTATGAGTTGGGTTTTAACAATACATTTTCTATTATAAGGGTAACCCTATTTTTCAGGGCATTATCATTTGTAGAAGCACCAGGTCTTCCATTAACTGCCCGACGAAGGAGTGCAGTTGAAAAAACCGAGGGCTTCTGCTAATGATAATGCCCTGAAAAATAGCGTTACCGTTATTATAGCTAAAATGGATGGAATTTTTTATCAAATAAAAAGAAACAACAATATTGGGTTTGAAACATTTACTGCAATCAACACGAATGTCACTGACCCACTTTTACAAATATGGAAAAGTCATAGAACAAACCAGTTGACTTCATTATTGAACGTGACGTCACCTATCCTATCCTATGACATCACCTAACAACGGACGTGATAATGGCCTGTCGTCAAGCAATAAGAGGGCATTATCAAGTTACAGTGGCCCACTCATTTCTGATAACACGCGGGCAGTTTAATGATAATTCTATCCATTTTAGCTATAAGAAACGATAAGTATCTTGACAGGAAGGTTGCCATGCAATGCATAATACGATAAGTATCTTGACAGAGAGGTCACCATATGAGACATGATACAATAAACATTTGTTACATTTGACCACTTTCTAAATATGTGTTCATAGCTTTCGGCCATGGGAGTGGGCCAATTTACACTTGTCAGAAGGGTACACAAAGTACGTGATCTAGACTACCTGTTGTCAGACTTTCATTTTTGTGGAAACCTTGGTGGCTGAGTGGGTTAGATCGCTGACTTTGTGTGCAGGCGATAAGGTGCCTCACTCTGGCAGTGTGAGTTCAAATCCCAAACAGTACTCAACCCCCTAAAAGTACGAGAATCTGTACTTTACTGAGAAAGTGAGGTCACCATACAATAAATACATAATACGATATACGAAAACTCAAAATTTGAATCAGTGTAAAATAACAATAGCAAACTCAGACACACTCATTTTAAAACCAAATACCCTGACTTGTCTGTTTGAGCCAGTGGGACATGTATTGATTTGTGCCAAAACAAGACCTTACAACATCTTATCAGTGGAATCATCACAGACCTCTTCCGACACGAGTGATATTCTGCTTGTGTTAAGTAACATTCATGTTTCAGAAAAATGGTGCCTACATCAAGGGTTTGTTCATGGAAGGAGCCCGGTGGTGTCGACAGGTGCGAGTGATTGTAGAGTCACAGCCCAAGATCCTGTATGACCCCACTCCAATCGTATCCTTGTAACCTGTGTTTACTGTTGGACGATTGTTGGTTACTGTGGCTGGGGTAATGGGGGAGGGGTGCCGTGAATGGGAGGGGTGCCGTGAGAGGGAGGGGTGCTGTGAGGAAGAGGGGAGGGGCGCCATGAGTGGGAGGGGAGGGGCGCCGTGAGTGGGAGGGGTGCTGTGAGGAAGAGGGAAGGGGCGCCATGAGTGGGAGGGGAGGGGCCCCCTGAGTTGGAGGGGTCCTGTGAGGAAGAGGGGAGGGGTGCCATGAGTTGGAGGGGAGGGGTGCCCTGAGTTGGAGGGGTGCTGTGAGGAAGAGGGGAGGGGCGCCATGAGTGGGAGGGGAGGGGCACCCTGAGTTGGAGGGGTGCTGTGAGGAAGAGGGGAGGGGCGCCATGAGTGGGACGGGAGGGGCGCCATGAGTGGGAGGGGTGCTGTGAGTGGGAGGGGAGGGGAGAGGAGTAGCGCCATGAGTGGGAGGGGCACCGTGGCGGTTAGGGGCTGTGAGAGGGAGGGGGGCCGTGAGGAGGGGGGAGGGGGAGGGTCAGCATCAGTGGAGTGAAATATGGTAAAAAACAAACAAATGCTTTACTTTGCCTAAAAAAAAAATCCTTCTTGTTGGTTTGTATAATGACTGACATAAACTTAAAGATTATTGTTGATAGATCTGTAACCAAGTGATGAACAATATCAAGCCTGAGAGAAAAATCACACAAGGGCCTGTGAGGGCATCACCTATTGAAACTATTATGTATGCCATATGCGCTATATTTAATATGTACGGTACATCACAGTTTAATTCCTTAAGTTGATTCAGATCTGGTTAAAACCAGGAGAAAAGTCCCAGTTTGCAGATGAACTGACATATTCATGTCCAGGTGAGTTTCTTCAGCTGGCAGCAATGATGTCAAGACATTGAGTTTTCTGAAAATAATCTTTAATATTTGGAATACAAAGCAATAAATCTTAAATGTGAGTTACTTGATCCACCAGTTTAGGGTCAGTATCCTTTCAAAAAGTATTTGAAGTTCAGGCTTAAAAAAGTAAAAGAATTGGTTTTCAGGCAATGACTTTAGAAAATATAGTGCAGGCAGGAGGTGTTTTTTGTTTGTTTGCTTGTTCAAACTAGTATGTAACCAAATAAACAGTTTGGTACCATTAACCTGGAAAGGGCCTCCCTACATAAACAAGCATACAAACTCCTATTGCTGCCATGACCATAACACGAGATGCACAGTAAAGCAGTGCCCATGTAAAGGGAAGTAACTGCGTGCTTTATTGGATCGCATTAATGTTTTTGGAAAATGGCAATAAAAACAAAACATGCGGCATACTTAATGATGATGAGGGCGGTACCTGAGAACCAATACTATTAATTTTTAAGCCTTATCAACAAAAGATTTACATCAATACAATATTCCTCAACAATTTGAAACACTTGTACCATTCAGAACGACCTTTCGCGAACTTTGACCGAACACTTAAATAACTAACAAAAAGTCGACATCAGCCAATTAGAAAGCAGCTTTCTCGAGGTTTACGGCACTCGTTTCAACCTGGCGACTTCCATTTCAGACTACACTTGAAAAATTTGTTGACACAGTTCTCGATTAAAATTCTGAAAACTGAACACATGAATATTCCGGAAGGTTTAATATATGGTTAAGATTGTAAGTCAGTGCTTCCCACATACTGTGCAATGCCTCCTCCGTTCAAATGTCCACTCACGGAAACGAGAGAAAGACGATAATTTTGACGGAATCAGTCATACGGGCCGTAACTGTCGTTCGGAATACGTTTTCAAAGTTGCATGATTAGAAATCACATTCCGACTGTCACTTTCATGATCTGGTAAGCGATGCTTTGATTGGTCGGATGAAAGGTCGTTCTGACGTGACCCGTAATGGGATGTCCTCAGATCTTTGTTTAGCGATAGTGAGAACTTAGATCTGATTTGAAAGAGATTGACATGTAATCAGTTTGGGACATAAGGAATATTCCTATCAAATGTTGATTGCTGTATATTATGACGTCAATTAACTATTTGATCCATTAGTACATACAAGAGTTTTTCGTATCTAATACCTTCTGTGTGTGATAAACTTGATTATATACCTTGAAATTTAGAGCTTATATTATTACATCAATGATTGAGATTGATCGTTTTGAAACAGTGACATAGTACCAGATTTTGTAATGCTCTTGAAACAGTCAACAAGACTACTTTGATTGAGACACTTTGTTATCCATTCTGCTACATTGTATGAGCACATCGTCCCAGCATGCAATGCAACTTCCACTTGCTTAAAACAACAGCCCGTTACACAAGGTGATCTCAGTGCTATGACTACCGTAACTCCCATATTTTAACATTGACTTACCACATCACACATGACATGTGTCTGGTTGCAGTGTACAAGACAAGCGCGAGGCGTGGGGTGCTGTCGACTACCGGTCATTCCACCAACTATGTACTGACCATCGAGCTGGCCACGGACAAGCCAGAGAGTCACTGGATCAACAGGGGGGTAGCGCTGCTATGTCAGCTCGACGACTAACAATGTATTTACCATCCAGCTGGCCACGGACAAGCCAGAGAGTCACTGGATCAACAGGGGGGTAGCGCTGCTATGTCAGCTCGACGACTAACAATGTATTTACCATCCAGCTGGCTTCGGACAAGCCAGAGAGTCACTGGATCAACAGGGGGGTAGCGCTGCTATGTCAGCTCGACGACTAACAATGTATTTACCATCCAGCTGGCCACGGACAAGCCAGAGAGTCGCTGGATCAACAGGGGGGTAGCGCTGCTATGTCAGCTCGACGACTAACAATGTATTTACCATCCAGCTGGCCACGGACAAGCCAGAGAGTCACTGGATCAACAGGGGGGTAGCGCTGCTATGTCAGCTCGACGACTAACAATGTATTGACTATCCAGATGGCCACAGACAAGCCCGTGTCACAGAGGGTAGCACAGCTGTGCCAGCTCCACGCCTAAGCAACATACCAAGCTTCATCAAAATGATGTCTGGAAATAATGAACCACTATATTGCTGCAGCCACACTGATGGTGACTTCTCCCAACATGGAGTGCTAGAAGTGTGGCAAGCACAGACATGTGTATCCCAGGCTTGTGGCACTACTTTTTGTGTTAACCTCGGGACTAAAACTAGCTGCTGACATACAGGGTGATGATTGGACATCTTGGTCAGCAATCAGTCATTCTCAGGAGCTATTTTGGACACTTGGTCCCCATTTTGTTGGCTCTCAACATGAGTACTGGTGTCTACTCTATGCCAGAACCCACTCAGTCATCTGTCTGGTGTACAAGGTACAAGGATTCCTGGAGAGCAGCGACTGAGGTTAAGCAGCACATGGACAGATGTTGTGTGATGAATGTTTATCTGATACTGAAAATATTAGTGTAAAATCATGTGACCATGAATATGAACTGCAAGAAGTATTATGTAATCATTATGTCAAATTAATACTGCAAGAAGTATTATGTAATTATTTGAATACTGCAAGAAGTATTATGTAAATATTATGTCATATTAATACTGCAAGAAGTATTATGTAATTAATGTCAAATTAATACTGCAAGACGTATTATGTAACTAATGTCATTTTGATACTGTAAGAAGTATTATGTAATTAATGTCAAATTAATACTGCAAGAAGTATTATGTAATCATTATGTCAAATTGATACTGCAAGAAGTATTATGTAATTATTTGAATACTGCAAGAAGTATTATGTAATTATTATGTCATATTAATACTGCAAGAAGTATTATGTAATTAATGTCAAATTAATACTGCAAGACGTATTATGTAACTAATGTCATTTTGATACTGTAAGAAGTATTATGTAATTAATGTCAAATTAATACTGCAAGAAGTATTATGTAATCATTATGTCAAATTGATACTGCAAGAAGTATTATGTAATTATTTGAATACTGCAAGAAGTATTATGTAATTATTATGTCAAATGAATATTACAAGAAGTAATATGTAATTAATGTCAAATTGATACTGCAAGAAGTATTATGTAATTATTTGAATAGTGCAAGAAGTATTATCTAATTATTACTTCAAATGAGAACTGCAAGACATGTTCTGTAATTTTTTTGTCAAATTGATACTGCAAGACCTGTTTTGTACATATATTAATACTGAAAGAGGTATTATGTAATTATTTGAATACTGCAAGAAGTATTATGTAATTATTATGTTAAAGTTATAGTGCAAGGAGCTTTGAGGCTGACAACTTTACGCAATTGTTGATTATGTATTTATGTTGTTGTTTCCATTTTATATTGACGTTTTTTAATAGATTTTACACTTTTTTATTATTTGTTATGATGAAGTATTTTCTGTTATGCCATGCCTTTGTAAGCAAATGATTTAATCATGATTGTCACATTTGGGCATGATGGAGGACATAGTAGTGGCCTGCTCTTCACAGAGGGGACTTGAATCAAGTCTATGAACAAGTACGGCCATAGAGCTCATAAGGATTTCCGTTAGCTCCATAAAGTTAAATCGTCTTAAAATGTAAAGATAATGTAGTTTCGGTGAAAGGGGTTTCAGTGTATTTATGTTTCAAACATAAAACATGCACTATTTAGAGAATAATCAACGAGCTACAAGGATTATCTGCTCCGAGTAAAGGAATGGCATTAATACGGAACCTTTTGTGAGGATACTTCCAGCATTCATTCACGAGGGACCAATAATCCATAAATCCTCATATCGAGTAGATTATTCTATATATTAAAAGTCGACATTTTAATATAGAAAATGAAGAAAAAACAAAGTCAGCCCTACAGAGAAACTTAACTGAAGGCGGCCTATTGTTCAGATGACGGAATGTAATCAATTTGTGACGTCATCAACAATGAATGATGTCATATCGTCTTTTCTCAGCAATGAAGCAAATGGCTTCAATTGACCAATCAGCACAGAGAATTGCTAAAATGCATTTGTGAAAATATCGGGAAGTTATAACACAATCATTCTACCCTTATGGGAAATATTTAGGCTCTATATCATTACTAGATTTGGGTTAACAAATGAATCTTTAATGAATCATGTACCGTCTATGTACCATGTACCAGGCGAGTATTTCGTACCTAGAATTTTGGGGCTTTCAAGGGGGCCGTCTTATACACAGGGTTGAAGAGTTTAAATCAGTAAATCATGTCTAGTGTTTTTTATCTCAAATTTCAAATTTGTATTGACCAAGTCTGAATTTGATGATGTAATTTTTTTCTGCGGAAGACAAACACGTTTTTATTGCAAATGTGACGCACTTCATTCCGGTTTGCTTTTAAGATGGGGTATATAAATTAGCATCGATTTTGAAGGGTTGTACAGGGAGGTTGCCTTATACGTGGTGTCGCCTTACAGACAGCGATATACGGTACAAGATCAGGTCTTACAACACTGGAACAATTGAGTTTGGGCTCATTCAGTATTACATTACTCAGTGAAATGGTCTGGACAAACAGAGGTTCCAGTGTAGTATTCCTCTCTATATATGCATAGGTATCCTCAACAGTTATCGTTCTGAATGTTGAGTTTCCATAGTAACGGTATGGATTAATAGAGTTTCACTTAATCAAGATTTGTAAATTGTATTTTATAGAAGATGTTTTCCTTTAGCATATTATGTTCTTACTGTCAAATTAGTTTGGTTATGTACACGCAATCACCATCTGTTTTATCTGATCGATATATTCCCGGGCATCGTAGATTGTACCCCTGGCAGGAAGATGAGATATCACCTATTTTTACCCAGAAATTTTTCAGGGATATCTGTCAGTGATAGTGAGTGAATTTAACCAATCTTTTAAGAAGCACAAATGTTGGAATAATAATCAAAAATCATCACTGACAGCTAAAGACGAATAGACTCTGTTGGCATGATATAAATGTCCAAAATAATCAAATACCAAATGTACTACCTCATATTTTTGGTGAAATTTGATATTCATTAATGATTTCACACCAAAAATGTATTTCATAATTTTTACTTCATAAATACGTTATGGTTTCATTTCATCAATTTATGAGCGTGAGGACGCTTCTCTCGTTTCCCGGACTTAATATCAATCTTTGTATGGATGCAACTGTTTCTCTCACACTCTTATTATTCTGTTAATCATAAATTATTATTAGGCAGGCTGTTGTACAAAATTTACATATTTTGTAAATATTGGAAATTTATTTGTAAATGTTACGTTTAGTGATTTCATATTCGACCAATGAAGGACATCAGTCAATCAAGGACCATGTTTCCTCTCTTAGAAGTATGCCCCTCATAAACTTCACAGACCCGACCATTAATAGAAGGCAGCTGTTAAAGAACAGCCCTTTTTGTATCAGGTATCACAGAGAGGAGAAAGTTTGGGTTGTCAGTGTACCATAAAGTTTATTGAAGTAAGCCTAACTTTCTCCTCTCTGTGATACCTGATACAAAAAGGGCTGTTCTTTAACAGCTGCCTTCTATTAATGGTCGGGTCTGTGAAGTTTATGAGGGGCATGCTTACTTCAATAAACTTTATGGTACACTGACAACCCATATTCCAGACGGTACTCTTCCCAATCATCCTGTGTCAGGAAATTCTAAATTAACAAATCAGCATTGGTAATGTCCCTTTAATTACAATTTGACATTCGCAGGAGTAAAGTCGTCAAGACAAGGTTTCTGGTATGGAATCAAGAGATTTCACTATATTCACTATATAGTAAGGAGAAATATAGCCTAGTTCTTATTTCGAAACCTTACCGCTCTGCCATGTCGAAAATCGTAGCGTTATGTAAAGGCAGCTCTTATTTGAAGAAATGCAGTAGTCAGGGTAGTGTGTCCGTTTGTGATTTAAAAAACTACCAATTGGACTCCTGAGATGCCAAAGTGGATTAAGTGCTCACCTTGCTGTAGGCCTCAGTTGATGCCCATGGGGATATGGTGGTTCACCTTTTTGGGGTGTTCACGCTCTAATGTATGTGGTAAATTATTTATTTATTATATTATCTGTTAACTTTGTAAATATATGTATCTGTTATGTAGTACCTATATTTTCTTTGTTATGCTGTCACGATGATAAGTAGGGTAAACCTCTGTCACCGATTTATTAAGATCAAACAATATGATATAAGCTGTATGAAATTATTCATAGCATTAATGAATCTTACTTGCTCCATCTGTAGAGATTGACAAGACTTATATCTTCATCAGTTTTTATCCCCCTTGCTTGTATATTTATAGCAGTCTTTATGCCGATTCAGCAATACATGTGCCTTTACGCCTACTCATTTGTTTAATCTACTCACAAAAATACAGTTACAACATGTACACATATGTATGATATTCATGTCATGCCACATACCGTATTCGACATAATAAGCGCCAAGGGCCTCTCAAAGTTAGAAATAGGGGGCTCTTATTAGTATAAAATTTTGGTGAAAAAAGAGAGTCAAAAGATCGTAAATTTCGTGGTTTATGCTGACAGCCTGAAATGATACAAAAGAAAAGTCTGTGCGTATTAGACACAACAGATATATTTTCCCAGAATTTAATTGCCCATGATATGGGGTGCATATAACACACAAGTGCGTATTATATAGAATAAATAAGTCTTGTGTACATTGATCAATTGGAAGAGGTGCTAATTGGGATTGTTCACTGGCCAATATATTAGCAAATATCGCTTTTGGCGCTTATTAGAACGGGACGCTTATTACGTCGAATACGGTAGTTATGACAAATGCCATGTAAATATATATACTGTCCTGTGTATCTACCACTGATGCACTTGCGGACCCAGGGAGGGGGTACGCATCCTCCTTTTTCCAGACACCATGTTAACAGCGCGATCGGAGGTCACTTCATGACTGATGTACGACGTGCACACACACACCCTCGTTTTCATAATCCTGGCTCCACATCTCTGATGTTCACACATCATGTAGCTTATTGAATGTGCTTCGTTTAATGTAGTAAGTTCTAAGTATATCTTTAGTGCAGTCCGTTCCAAGTATATTTAGGTTCATTTTGGAACATATTACCTTTTTTATTCCTATTCTTACATAAACTGGTACATTTTCAGGAAAGAGAGATACAATGTTTTGCATAGTTGACAAGGCCAGAACAATTTTCCTGTTTTAGGGGTAACATGGCATAATCTATCTACATAGCATGGAGGACACTCCTGTTTTTCCATCATATGCAATCTAAATACTTACAATATGCATTATGTACATTGTTAGAAAATTAACGGATGAGTAGTAGGTATATACAGAATCTCACGTGTGTGTCTTTTGATATCATCTGTATCAACATGATTTGATAAAAGTTTAAAATTCCTGAGGTTTGCGAGAATTTTTAGACATTTCTCGTCGAGTGATCTCATCTAAGTGATATCTACACTGGAAGCCAGTTTTGGATGATACATATCAGTGTACAAACTGAACTGCCCAACAATGGAGGAAGTTGCATATCAAGACTACTTCCAAATCAGAGTATCTCAAGGTTTTGATATAGGCATCAAACACATAAATATTGATGAAAGTGAAGTCGGTGCAGTTGGTGCAGTTGCATTGTTGATGTGATGTTTGGTATTTCTACTCTAGCGGTTGTTTTCTCAATTACACATTGCACCTATTCAACAGCATGTGTAGTGTTCTCTGACTCTGAACACTCAAGCTCCTCACAGCGATAGCCCGTTCGTGGAGCTCTCTATACTGTAGCTGCCACCAGTCATAACTTCCCACTGTGATAGGTGGCCACAACCATGCTTGGAGTTGAACTCGCCAAATACACTTATCGCTGCTAAATTACTTTCTTTGTTTGTCAATTTGAATTTCTGTTTCCTTAAAACTATCATGTAATTGATATAGTAAGAATGTAAGGGAGAAGTTGGTTGATTTTCCATTAGTCTGCAATCTCGAACCAATCTGATTTTTAAACCAACAAAGTAAATTCATCTGGAAAACATGGTCAGTCGTAAATGTTTTCAAAATGAAATATGATGGCATTCCCAAAGACAAAAACAAAAGTATAAACGTTACTACATTTGGGGTTAGAGGGCAAATTTCAAGATTCTTGGAAGCTTGCTGAACACTCGCCTAAGGGAGATAACTCTCATAATCTTTATATTTACCCATGGTATAATCTTAGCAATCTGTAAACCTCAAATGAATAAGATGTACAGGTCATTGCTAGACACTAGTTTAGATTAGAGATAGAACATATATTAAACAAGAACATTACCCAACTCTGGACTGTAGACTGTTGTAAGATGTAGTGATATATGTACATAAGGTAAAATAACATGAATAATTTACATAGGATCACTGTCTGATTGTAAATACAATATTCTCTTGTCTCACTCAGGACTAGCTGATCTGTGATAACGCTGCTGTGATCTGTGACTGCATGTGATAACTAATGATATCATCATTGGATGTTTGTATAAACATGTGATAACAATTGATATGATGTAATAAACAGTGATACTGTTGTATGTTTGTATCTGTGTGATAACCAATCATGTCTCAACGCAATGGTTATGCTGCTCTTGAAACAAGTTTTATTACTGTCAATCATTTACACTTGCAATAAAATCTTTTTTTATGCACCTGGTTTTGTTTTGTCTTATATGTTATGAGACCGCCTCCATGGTTTAGTGGTAGAGCATCCTTCCGGAGACAGAAGGTCCAGGATTCGATCCCCGGCCGCGTCATACCAAAAGACGTTAAAAGATGGTACTTGTTGTTACCCTGTCTGGCACTCGGCATTAAAGGGGCTAAAACAAGGACTGGTCGGCTCGGAGTCAGTATACTGTGTCTGTGTGGGGTATTCATGTTAAACTGAGCCATGGTATCTCAGTGGGCTAGCACTATAAATTGGCATCAGTCCAGACTAGTACAAGCAGCTACACACACACACTATATAAGTACAATAATCTTAGAGGCGACATAAAACCCCATTTCACCTCACCTTGTATGTTGTGCACTATAATATCAATAATTGAGTAATCTGGAGCAATAAGAGATATATCACACTATAATGGCTTATATTTAGGTTAGCATGGTTAAATTGTATACATATTTCTTTTCTCTGACAAACATATATCTTTCTCAAAATAAGAATTATGAATCAAATTAAAACGTGTATACTTTTGTGATTACATACAAACATAAGGTTTAAAATATAAATATATTTTTTGTCATTTCACACAAACATCAGATGTAAAAAAGGTGATGAAGAAACTGCTTGGGTTAAAAGTTCTGAATTGCCAGTCCATGAGTTACCTCCCTTCCAACATCTCCCAACCGTGGAGATTTTTGAAAACTTACTTCCAGTTACAGCTACATCTAGCTACTTTGTAAACTTCTCTGCCATGTTTTGCTTTTAATATTCAGATGTTGATCGTCAGTGATATGACTAGTCATGTTTCACACAACACCCTAACCTCTGTAAATGTAGGAGTGTAAATGTAAGAAATGTTGTGTCTGCCAAATTCTACACTTTACAATAGAGGAATATAGTAAACTACGGTTATAACAAACTCAAAGGGACCACTAATTGTAGTTCGTAATAACCGTAGTTCGTTATAAGCATATGTACAATTACAACAAATGTCCGGGACTAAAAAATAAGTTTGTCATATCGGTCAGTTCGTTATAAGCGTGTTCGTTATAAACGTAGTTTAAGGTATAGGGAAATCAGGCGCATTTATGTAATTCCCTCAATAGATAAACATGGAATGACAATTAACTGATATGTTGTCATGGAGCACTGTCATCAGAAAACAAGGTAACTATGCAGTCATAGCATAAAGAACGTTGTGGTGCTACTCACATTCACTTTTGCAAAGGCAATAAGCAACCTGCCGTTGTAAGGGAATTAATTCGTTAAAATTTGATATTTAACACCCTATTCTTGACAATATGTCTTTAAGCCTACAATTCACGACTTCACTGCTTCATTTTGGTGATAGAATGATGTTGATATGTTGTGAGATATGTCGTCAAAGGACTCACGATACACGACAGTTTGAGCTGAGCAGTGAACACAAAATCATACCAGTAAACATCCTTAAGCTGGCATGTCAACAAGTTAGCAGAGTATCAAGCTGAAATATACTACTCAAAAGAAGTTAAGGAAAAGAGTTAAAGCATTAAAGAGTAGTATAATACACTAATTTAGGGGAAATAGACATCCTTCAAAAACAAACCAACATCCAAACTGATATATATACATGTTTAATTTATGTTCCATTTGTATGTAAACGCCGAGATTGATGATTGTGATACGAACATGATAGTCTAGATATGACAACATATTTACATGTAGCAGCTGAACAAGTACTTATCTATCAATGACACATGTTACACGCTGACTTGCATATATATTCCTAAAATGCATCATCACATCTCAATGTACAGTCATATATAACATTAATGTACAGACCAAACGTCAGTGCAGAGACAGGGTGTCTGAAACTCAAGTTATCCGATCTGAGACAACACGTCTTCTATTCTACTGCCAGTAAAAGGTAGTAATGAGGCTGCCAACCCCCTTTTGGTATGTGGCTTTGGTTGGTTTGTTGTTTTACACCGCACTCAGCAATATTCCAGCTTTATGACGGCGGTCTGTAAATAATCGAGTCTGGACCAGACAATCCAGTGATTGACATCGTGAGCATCGATCCATGCAATTGGGATCAATGGCATGCATCAACCAAGTCAGCGAGCCTGACCACCTGATCCCGTTAGTCGCCTTTTACGACAAGCATAGTCGCCTTTTACGGCAAGCATGGGTTCATGAAGACCTATTCTACCTTTTGGTATGTGGCTTTGGGGTTCTATTTAGGGGGTTTTCGGGACTCAGCAGTGCCATACTCGGGACACAAATATAATTGTACTTGGTATGCAGATTCAACATTTAAAAAAACGTAATGGTGTATGTAAAAGCTTCCTTTACATATTTTATTTTTTTCCATATCTTTCAGTAATTTGTGATTTGTGTAAAGTAGCATTGGGGCTTCTGGGTGTCCAATGAGACTTAAAGTACAAACTTAGATGTAATCAGGGTTCTGGGGTAGGGGTTGGCACTTCAGTAATGATATTGGTCAGGAAAAAGCCCTATAAAAGTAATCTCAGAACCCCTTTTCAAGCAGGTGAAAAGCCTGCACCTTTGACATGAAGCTCATTATTTTGACTGATTTGGGCTGCAATTTCCTCCATTGGAAGAGGGAGTGAAACCGCCGCAGTCACCAATATTCAACCCCTATCATAACTGCCTGCAATGGAATCTGGGGAGGCAAATCAGTGATTGGTAGCATGAGCAACAATCCATGCCATCAGGTTAGGTTGACACACTGGGTAACAAGTCGTTACCACCTGAACCTGATTTCCAAGGACTGTTTGCACGCATAGGGAACAGGAACTCCCCTGTCCTAGAATCCAGGGATCTGAACCTGATCAAGGTTGAGTGAATGATGGACCGCTGAACAGCCCAAGCACCAAGAGAACATGTGATACAAAATGGCATTGCACTACGTCATTATTTCATCACTGGCTATCAGAGGAAGAAGTAAAGCTCTCTGTCAGCACCAAAGCGTAATACATCCTCTATCCTCCTGTTTTGCCCACTGTTCAGGCATCAATGTCAGATAATGCTGAAGAAGACCACATCGTTCATCTCCTGCGCCTGGTGCGAGCTCGCCTCCGCTTATCATTGCGAGACAGGGGCTTGGGTTGTAGGCGGCCAATGTTGGACCCTTGACGCTTCTTGACATTCACATTCTGCTCCACCAGATTGGCCAGATGTCCCTGCTCCGCCAGCATCGACAGGAAGGTCATCAGGAACTGATCGTAGTTGTGTGTGCGGCGACAGTCATCGATCTGGAAGGGGAAGGACAATTTCATGGCAGAAAAAAAATCAATTTTAGTAAGCTGTCAATTTTAGGGCTTAGAGATCGATAATCGTCAACTTAATATCCATCAATTATTGATAATTATATTATAGAGAAGTAACTTTGAGCAAAAATGCTAAAAGCTTTGAGACAAAACAACATATTTCACGTCACTGTTGAATAGTGACACATTGATGCATGGATTACTTTGTGGACATTTATGATATAACAAAATCAGTTGCTTTTCGTCTTTGGCAATGGACATAACAAGTTTGCTTCGGTAAATTAAAACGTTAATTCATCACAATAGTTTATGTAAGATATTATCAATGACACAATTTTAATATCGATAATCGTTAATATTTTTTCACATCAATAATTCTGATTATCAATCTTTTTAGCCAGACCTGATCAATTGAGTGAGTGAGTTTGATATTATGCTGCTTTGAAGAGCAGATATTTTAATGTATGTCAGATTGGTTTTATAGTTCAGATGCAGGGCTATATTAAGTTAATGATGCATTTTAAGCTAGGGCAAGTCACTCACATTTATTTGGTGACAGCATTAATTTCAAGATTTACAGTAGTTCGTCGACCATCAGCTTGGCCCCCTGTGCCTCTTGATCACATGAGTGTCAGGCTTATAGCTTTAACACTGCAGTGGTGACACACAGCTTTACATTAGTGTCAGGCTTATAGCTTTAACACTGCAGTGGTGACACACAGCTTTACATTAGTGTCAGGCTTATAGCTTTAACACTGCAGTGGTGACACACAGCTTTACACATTTCTGTCAGTGTAATAAGGTGACACACCTTACACACATCTGTTAATTTAACAGGAACTATAGACCAGGTACTTAAAGACATTGATACAATTTCAACGGCACTGGCATAATGCCAACAGAGATGACAGGAGACACAGTACTGTGCACCTACCTTGTACTTCTTCCGCTTCTCATTCTCATCCTTGAGGTTGGCCTCGCATGTCTCGATCTCATTCTCCACATTCTTCAGAAGGTCCAGCAGATCCTGTCAACATTAGTCAGTGAGTGAGTGAGTGAGTGATTCTGAATAAGCTCCACTTTAAACAGTATACCAGGTAAATCACGGTCAGCTTAATGTGGGAGGAAAGCCCGAAGTGATGTAAGTCGCAGACGTTTACCACTTTGGTAAAGCCCACGAGCACGGGTATGCATGGTGCTGACATACCTAGAAACATAAAGCCCGAAGTGACGCAAGTCGCAGACGTTTACCACTTTGGTGAAACCAACGAGCACGGGTATGCATGGTGCTGACATACCTAGAAACATAAAGCCCGAAGTGACGCAAGTCGCAGACGTTTACCACTTTGGTGAAACCAACGAGCACGGGTATGCATGGTGCTGACATACCTAGAAACATAAAGCCCGAAGTGACGCAAGTCGCAGACGTTTACCACTTTGGTGAAACCCACGAGCACGGGTATGGTGCTGACAAACCTAGACACACAACTGGGGAGAAACATCAGCAAGATCCAAACCCATGACCATAGATTTCTGTTGTGCCCAAGGGACGCAACTCTGCACAGCAAATTGCAGCGCCTTAGATCACTGGCCCACCCATGCCCCCGTCAACATGAAGACAAGCACTGTAGAAGGCCTATCATAGCATCATCTCTGAAAGAAACTGTGGATAAAGGTGAAAAGAAATGCTGTCTAGAGTTCCTACCTTGGGAGAGAACCCTTGTGAGCTGCTGAAGCGATGTTTCGACTTAGACTTGATCTCTGACCCGTCCGTTCTGGACCCCAGAGTGTCGTCTCCCTCCAGCTTCATGTCACCTAGGAAACAACATCAGAGATGTACATCATATATACTTCTGGATGACTTGTACTCATCATTTACGTGTCCACTTGCAGTTGTCAAACAGGATAAGGAAGCAAAGTTTTCATGGGCAAATCAAAACCTGCATTGTACATCATCATAGGAAGAACATGACATGTTCTTCACTGCATCTCCAGTGTTGTTTGGAGCTCACTGGTGAAGGACATGGCAAGTGTGTGAGGCTGTTTCTGCTGGAGCTGAGTATCACCTGGTATCTTGCGATACTCGATAACACGATACGGACTGACGATACTACTGGTATCATGATACACCACATACATGATACACTGTTACATCAAATAGTAAGAAATGAAGAAATCACTGAAATACAGCTCTAAAACCTCTTTCTTCATACGTTTATGTATTGACATCTTAAAAACTTTAACAAAGAAAACCATAAGAACAAACAGGTTAAAATGAAGGGATGGTTATTAAATGATTCTCGACCTGGACATATATAATTCTTGACCTCTACATACATGATCTTGACCTGGACATATATCATTCTGGACCTGGACATATATCATTCTGGACCTGGACACAAACATGATATAACTTTCTCAACCTGGACATATATCATTCTGGACATGGACATAAACATGATATAACTTTCTGGACCTGGAAATATATCATTCTGCACCTGGACATATCATTCTGGACCTGGAAATATATCATTCTGGACATGGACATAAACATGATATTAATTTCTCGACCTGGACATATATCATTCTCGACCTGGACATATATCATTCTCGCCCTGGACATATATCATTCTCGCCCTGGACATATCATTCTCACCCTGGACATATCATTCTCGACCTGGACATCTCATTCTCGACCTGTACATATCATTCTTGACCTGCACATATCATTCTCGACCTGTACATATACCATACTAGATAAACTATGCCACCTGGCACCTGTTGCACTCACCGTCTCCGAGGAACTGCGGACTGCTCTGACAGGACGGGATGGTGAAACTGCCGGGGGAGGAAAACACACTCCCCACCTCCGACGCTGTGTCTGTACTCTCACTGCTCGGACCTGACGACCCACCAAACTTGGTTTCTATAGTCAATGGCTTCGTGACGTCAGTAAGCGACACAGTTCTTGGGATCGTTATGCTCCCGTCCTTCCCCTCTTTCATGGAAATCTGAATCTTGACGTTCTTATCTCGCACCGCTGAGTCAGCATTTTCGGAATGTTTGTCCTCATGTTCGTCCTTCAGATCCACGCTGGCAATGTCGTTTGATTCCTTGTGATTGGTGAGGGAGACTGCGTGTTTGGAACACTCAGGCATTTCAGAGTCTGTTGACGCAAATAACTTATCTCTTGCATTTTCAACCGTAGCTTTGCAATCTTTGGCATCGACTGTGTCCATATGATTGTAACTCCCTCCTCTCTCCACTGCTGTGAGCCCTGGCGTGGTCACCTTCACCATCTACAACACACAACAGCACCGTTGGTGGAAAGATCAGCAGATGCAACAGTGGTTCAGGGCCCACAAAGTGATCATAGTTCTTTGACTGTTGTAAGTTTTAGATAAACTTAAAGTATAGTTCTACTATCCCTTTGTGGAATTTAGCCCTGATAATAGATCATTAAATACATCAACTCTCCATGGATTCAAAAGCCTTACAGTAGGGCAGGCCACAATGTGCCAGTCAAGAAGAAACAGTTGAACATTTGGCTGGTCATTATATCTTATTATTTGAATAATCTTGCAATTTGTTTTAATTACAAAATAGGTGTCACCACATTTCAACAAAGAATTGCCGATGTTTGTTTGTTTGTTTGTTTGTTTGTTTGTTGTTTAATGCTGCACTCAGCAATATTCCAATGATAGGATGGATGATCTGTAAATAATCTAGTCTGGACCAGACAATCCAGTGATTGATATCATGAGCATCAATCAATGCCATTGGGATAGGATGACATGCATCAACCAAGTCAGCGAGTCTGGCCACCCGATCCTGTTAGTCACCTCTTACGACAAGCATAGTCGCCTTTTACAACAAGCATGGTTGCCTTTTACAGCAAGCATGGGTTGCTGGAGACCAATTCTACCCCGGATCTTCAAGACTAGGGATGGATACCAGATCGTGGAGTCTTCATTTAAAACTGAAATCTGCACAGCACTGAATAACAAATGTCATGTCTTTGTATTAGCTCATCCATATCAAGTAGATCTCAATACAAATACAGTAAATCTTGAAGCTCTGACCAGGAACTGTGACCTCATGAGGTACACACATGGAGAGTCTTAATGATGTCTGTTATGAAGATTTACTGTAGAGTTTCAGCCAATAAGCATATACAGCTGCCACTCTGCAGTAAACATCACAACAAATTGTCCAAAATTCCTAAACCTGGCAGAAAAGTATTACCAAAGTAGATAAACTTCCACATTACATAGAATACAACTGATTGATAACACATTGTTCTCAATTCCCATAATGCGTACAATTGTATTCGGTGATTGCACTTTGCATTTACTCCATTCAGTGAGATGATGGGAATGAGGTTTAGCCTCGTGTTCAAGTTTATTGCACTCACATAGCACTGTGCATGTGTGTGTGTGTGTGTGTGTGTGTGTGTGTGTGTGTGTGTGTGTATGTGTGTGTGTGTGTGTGTGTGTGTGTGTGTGTGTGTGTGTGTGTTTGTGTGTCTGTTTGTACTGCCTAATCCTTATTTTATAGTGTTAGCCCACTGAGATACCATGCCTAAGTTTAACATGAATACTCCACTCAGACACAGTATACTGACTCTGAGCAGACCAGTCCTTGTTTTAGCCCCTTCATGACGTGCGTCAGGCAGGGTAACAACAAATACCATCTTTTAACATATTTTGGTATGACGCGGCTGGGGAAGCCCCTGATCTTCCGCTCTCCAAGCAGACTCTCTACCAACACATGTTGGGATGGTACCAAGAAACACAGATATAATGAAATAATAATATACTACCCAAAAGAATTTAAGGAACACCACATTCTTTCATATTACTAAATATAATCTTTCATGTCATGACAGATTAACTACAGTAATATGAAAGCATCAGATGGTCCTTAACTTCTTTTGAGTAATAAATTATTTCATTCTATCAGTGTTTCCTGGTAACATCCCAACATGTGTATCACACAGTACTGTTTCCATGGCAACCATTTTTACAAAATAGGTCGATGACGCCATTTTGTCAACAGTTTGCTAATCACATGTGGGAATCTTCACATGTTCTTGTCTCAAAGAATAGATTAAAATATGTTTACTGAAAAGGAGCATGCTTCAGCCAAGATTATCTTTGCATTTGTATACATTTGAAAGTACAGAGCAATGAACCATTAAACATTGTTGCCAAAAGACACAACAGACATGCATTGAGGCACAGGAGTCTGTATCTAAAAATAGCCCTTCGGGCTCGCGTGTGGAGATGGTCATGAATATGCATGAGGGCGTCTATTTTTAGATACAGACTCCTGTGATTGAGGAGATAGTAATGTTGCTCAGGCCAGATCAACTGAATCACAAGTTTTTTTGGTCAGTATGCCAACAGTTAGGACGAAAACTTCAACAAATGTTGTTAGGTTTGATCTGAGATTCATATTGTTAAAATGATACTTGCATGAACATGATAAATATTTTCATAAAAATACAGACAAAGAGATGTCCAAAATATGCATATTTTATAAAAATCCAAACATTTTTTTTTTGCTTTTGTAAAGGACAAGGAGGACATTTCATATGATCTACATAATTAAAGATATGAGCAAGACTAGTAAAACTCATTGTGAACGTTATGAGCTGTGTTCATAAGAAAGAGGATTAGACATTGATCATTTTAAACTTGCATGCTTTGGATGAATAACAGGAACTAAAAAAATCCCAAACCATACAATAATTTTCGTATTTTCTAAAGAGAGCAAATCTTTTCCCACACAAGCTTTCTGGATAAGACAGCTTAACCACAAGGTAAAAATTCATCATAGGTCCATGCACTTGCTCATAGTCATATTAAACTTTTTTCATTCATTTTGACCATACTTATGAGTATGTACTTGATAATGTTTGAAGTCCAAAACTTCAAGAGTAAGATAAAAGGCCAGTTGATCATGACTGATGATGTCCCTAGTGGGTCCTAACATGAATAATTTAGGAGCCAAACGTAAGTTTTAGGAGCCAAAAGAGATCTCAAACAGACATTGTCGTCAGTTATGTTTATTTTTAAGTTGCCAAGTGGCAAGCAGTAGACAAAGTTAGATCGCCAATCATCGCTTTAAGTTGCACTTGGCCACCAAAATGGTCGCTTCTTAAAGTTTTCTGTAACATAACCAGTTACCCAAAAGGCCCTATTCCGGTGTCCCCCGCCGTGATATTGCTGGAATATTGCTAAAAGTGGCGTAAAACCATACTCACTCACTCACTCACTCACTCAAAAGGCCCCTTATCCTTCCTTGTCCTTCACAGCAGACACTAACACAAGACATACATTGATCTGCCCTGAGATCACAGCATCAGTGATGCAATGTTCCAGGTCTGTTATGACTACGCCTTGTGATTTGTCCCATAAACAGAGTGAGTGAATCATCAATCGTCATAAGAGAAATACAATCTGTGTTAGAAATAAAACAATATGCATGAACACACACACACAAACATGCTTAGACAATAACCAATAAAATGTACACATGCAGTTCGAAGTTCATCTGTTGCAGTGTGGTAAAATATACACGTGCAGATAATGCAGCATAGGCTCAAACATAACACTACATGTGCACACGGGACACGGGTCAGGGCACTACGTCAGTGATAGTTCATTTCTTTGATGCTTATAAAAACAAAAATTATTCAAAACAAAATCTGAAACTGTACATAATATGGTGTAACAAAACAGGTGTATAAAAAACTCTCAAGAAATGAAACACAAAAACACATATCTGGTACTCATACATTGTTTATGAACAGACTAGAAAGTGTATGTGTTGAAAGTGACAGCTGATGTAACCATGGCAACAAGGATATACCTATCATGACAGTCATTGTGCTCTTGTTGCCAGGCAACTGGAAAGGATTGTGCCAAACATGAAGGTCTAAGTTGTCCAATTGTTGACAACGATCACCAGTACAGACAAGTGACATGCTTCTCAACCTGAGCCCCGTTCCACATAGAGGTCCTAGCACTAAGATGATCGCATCTTTCCGAGGCAAGGGAGTTAATTGACTTTAAAAATCCAGTTTCCACCCTTGCTGAACCAGTGGCTATTACGAGTTATGTCCATTTAAGTCTCTCTCTACTGACCAATCAGATTCTGCCTCTCATGTCAAATGCATTTGCTTCTAACAAAATGGCAGTGTCCAGTCAAGATGATCTCATCGATAATAAAGATCTTTAGTGTAATAAAACAGGTTTTATCTCGCAAAGTGCATCATATCACCTGAACACCTTGATTAAAAACATGAACGGATTTGGAAAATATGTGTCGACGCCCAGTTGACAGTACACATGCTCTACAATTCCTGCAATCGAAACGAATTCGGCACGGCAGTTGCCACGGATGTTCATGAACCTGATGTTGACATCGTTACATGATTCTGATTGGAGTTTGCACAGGCTCTTTATTCCAGCCAAAATATAACTCCATAATTCCAGCCTAGTTCGGCAAGGGTGGAGACGGAACGTTTATAGTCAGTTAACCCCTTGCCTGGTGATCGAAACTCCCATACTTTAAAACAGGCTTACGGTGGCCGTAATGCTAAGATCGCTTTGTGGAGTGAGTGAGTTGGGTTTAACGCCGCTTTTAACAGTATTCCAGTTATATCGCGGCGTGTCAGCTTAATGTGGGAGGAAAGCTCGAAGTGATGCAGGTCTCACACGTTTACCACTTCGGTGAAACGCACGAGCACGGGTATGGTGCTGACAAACCTAGAAACATAATCGGGGCGAACCGGGATTCGAAGCCACAATCATAGGTTTCTGGCGTGCCCAAGGGACGCAACTCTGCACAGCAAATCGCGGCGCCTTAGACGGCTGGGCCACCCGTGCCCCCTATCGCTTTGTGGAACAGTTCATAGCTCCATTCTTGGCTTGTCCACTAACTTCTGGATTCAGTCCCACAAAGTGATCCTACTCCATCCATACTCTGACGTGATAGACTGATGGCAGGCTTATTGCTCAGAACCCATTATTATTTCAGTGTGTGTGTAATACTCAACATTTGCTGAGGACCACAGATTTGGCTAAGGATGACTATTGATACTTTGTTCTATGTAGTGAGAGTTCCTGAAAGACTTAATAAGAGTGATGAGATCATAAAGATACTGATGAATTTGTGATCATTGTGATCATTCCATTATACATACATGACATCGTCACATGAGGGTGTAAGTTCTACCATTGTATACTGAGGAAATAAAGCATTGGCTACTTCAATCAGAGGTGGTTATTGT